ATAACATAGCATGTAGCATATCATAGTATGTAGCATAGCATAGCATAGCATGTAGCATAGCATAGCATGTAGCATAGTATAGCATTTCACATGTAGCATAGCATAGCATAGCATGTAGCATAGTATAGCATTTCACATGTAGCATAGCATAGCATAGCATAGCATGTAGCATAGCATAGCATGTAGCATAGTATAGCATTTCACATGTAGCATAGCATAGCATAGCATGTAGCATAGTATAGCATTTCACATGTAGCATAGCATAGCATGTAGCATAGCATAGCATGTAGCATAGCATAGCATGTTGCATAACATAGCATGTAGCATAGCATGTAGCATAGCATAGAATGTAGCATAGCATAGCATGTAGCATAGCATAGCATGTAGCATAGCATAGCATGTGGCATAACCAGCATAACACGTAGCATTGTACAGCATGTAACATGTAGCATAGCATGTAACATAGCATGTAGAATAGCATAGCATTAGAATAGCATTTAGCATAGCATGTTGCATAACATATAGCATAGCATGAAGCATAGCAATTAGCATTGTATGTCAATGTTTTCACTGAGCTGGGATTATCTTATAAGTTGACCACTCTCTTAACGATTATCAGTAACCTTTGTCCAGCCATGTCAGTGACAGTGGAAGTGGAAGCCTGCACTTGCCTGTACCTCGATTGGTTAAAATAATCCAAACATACTGTCCCCTTATTGGTTAAAATGATTCTGCATCTCGAAACCTGATTGGTTAAAACATACTGTACTGTGATTGGTTAAAAGAATCCAAACATTCTGTTCCTTATTGGGTAAAACAATTCTGCATCTCAAAACCTGATTGGTTAAAACATACTGTACTCTGATTGGTTAAAATAATTCTGCAAGTTAAAACGTGTTTGGTTGAAATGGTTCTGCAGTTATCTTTTTTACTGTTTTATCAGTTTATTATCCACCTTTGGCCTATAACAATGAAACATCCATGAAGTAGACAAGATAGCTTATCACATAGTCACCAGGTTACCGTAACAGTGTTTGTTTGATTATATTATCAGTTATCAGAAACCTTTCACCAGTTATGTCACTCCAAGTGCACCATGTTATCACATGACCTCACTTCCGGTGGAACTGTAACATGTGACCTATGACGTCACTTCCGGTGGAAGTGGAACGTGGAAGTGGAACAGTGCCGGTGCCGGTTGTAGGTCGAAAGTTGCAGCCTATACTACTGTCAACTAATGATTAATAAGCTAAGAGAATATGCTTCTTCAGTTTTGATTTAAGAAAAGAAATGGAATTTGACTTTTTTATTTCTTCTGGGAGATTTTTCCATATGGAGTAACCACTAAAGGCTATTGTTTTTTGCCATAATTTTCAGTTTTGCTTTAGGAAGGGTGAAGTTTGATTTACCTCTAGTATTATATCTATGAAAATCTCCATGGGCATTGAAATAGTTGGGAAAAATAGCTTCATAATTGTTGATATCATTTTTCCATTTAAATGCTAGTATTAAGAAAGGATATATTGTCAAAGTCCTTACTTCATGTGAAGTCAATTTCAGTATGGAACCACTTTGCCTTATAATGATTATCATGACTGTTTGAAGCTTAAATTATGCAAATTAGTTGAAATATAGTATTGTCCCCATGTAATATTCGTTTCATTATTGATGTAATTTCTCAATTTTAAGCGAAGAAATATAAGGTCTTTCTTAAATTATTTCAAAGTTATGAGTTAAAGTCTATTATTTTCTTTAACCCCCCCCCCCCGAGCCCTCAAAATTATTAAGGTAGGGTGTAAGATTCTTTACACACTCATTATATAAAATAACCTCTTTATATTGTGCATATCTGTTGTCAATTTTTTCTCGAAGTTATAACTTCATGAGAAGTCAATTAAAGTAAATGCCATATTTTATCACTTCGTCATTTAATGGTTTTTATTACTCTATAAGGGTTAAATTATGCAAATTAGCTTATTTGCATATCAAAAAATATTTTTTCTGAATTACTGATGATATAACATAAATATTGGTGAAAAATTTCCAAAGTTATGAATTAAAGTCCATTTTCATTTTGACCCCCCCCCCCCTCAAATATATGGGTAGGGGGAGAATTTTTTTCACAGTCGTTATGTAAGATACACTTTCAATATTTTGCACATCTGTTATACATATATAAATGCAACTATATGAATTATTTCATAAGTTATAACTTCATGAGAGGTCGATTAAAATAAATGTCGTATTTTATCGTTTTGTCATTTAACGGTTTTTATGACTGTATAAGGGTTAAATTATGCAAATTAGCTTATTTGCATATCAAAAATGTTTTTTCTTAGTTACTGATGTTATTACATAAATTTTGGTGAACAAATAGGTTTATACCTCATATACTTCCAAAGTTATAAATTAAAGTCCATTTTCAGTTGACCCCCTGAAATATCTGGGTAGGGGGAGAAATTTTTTCACAATCTATATATAAGATGCACTTTTAATATTTTTCACATCTATTATACATATATAGATGCATTTTTAGGAATTATTTCATCAGTTATAACTTCATATGAAGGTAATTACAGTAAATGTCGTATATTATCATTTTGTCATTTAATAGTTTTTATGGCGGTTTAAGGGTTAAATTATGCAAATTAGCTTATTTTCATTCAAAATATTTTTTTCTTCATTACTGATGTTATTTCATAAATTTTGGTAAAAAAATTAAGTTTGTATCTCATATACTTCCAAAGTTATGAATTAAAGTCTATTTTCTTCTAACCCCCCTAAAATTATAGGGCGGTGGGTATAAAGATGAAGATATCTTATTTTCGCAAGTCTCAAACTCTAGATATCACCCCACATCATAAAAGTAACTTATTTTCCAACAAGAACTGAAAAAATCTCGCGTAATACTTTCCAATATCCATTTTCACTTTCTAGCTGTTTCTCAGAACTTGGGTCCCTGAGTAGATTGAATGCATTTTTCTTCTAAGAGGATAACTGTGTCCCAAAACGCAACATATTGATGAAACAAACATTAAAAAACAGCTGTGGAAAGGGCTGAAGAGCAGACAAATCTCAGATGAAATATATTGATGGTGTGTTTGCAACTTCCCTGTCTCAAACTCAAAATTTTTTGAGTACTTTTCCTGGAGGTAATGCATTGCATTGCATCGTTCATTTTTGCCAATCTGTGTGGTAGCTTTAAATAAGTTTCAAACAGCACGCCTAGTAGGACGTCATTTAAGTCCTGAACTGTGTGTTTGGTTTTGAGGGATTAGAATAAAGGCATTGGATATGGGTAGTTGGGGGGGTGACCTGACTTTTTACGGATAATGGTGCTTAGATCTAAGTTGTGTCCTGATTTTTGAATGCTAAATACGACTTCTTCAAATGACCAAATGGTATGAATGTGGGTTGTGTCTCCCATGAAAATCTTCACAAAACCAATCAAAATATTTGTTTCACTGGTAGTCACACTTGTAAATGTTAATTTTTAGTCCTCTATTAAAAGAAGCTATTGATTTGATGCTTACCTTGTATAATCATACTGGGATTCATTGAAATTATCATTAAATTTTGTTTTGTTTATTCAGGCAATGGGATTACATACTAGAATAAGCTATAGTGATAATAACACACCCTTGGATGCAATTATGCTGGCTTTTCTCTCCTGTTACCGTGTGCTGTGTCAAGCTCTCCATTCTGTATAACCCTATAACGTGCCAAAGAGAAAGGGCCAATTGTTCCAGAACCCAGCAGAAAAAAGAATGTATCTAAGTACAGACCAGTCATAAGGAAAACAAACCCCAACTATCCAATACCATAATCCAACGTGAATGGGAAACTATGTCTAATGCCCCTCGTCCATATCATAAAAGATTTACAGTTCAGAATATTTAAAAGAGCATATTCTTTTTCATTGCCTATTATCACTGACTCTTTCTATTAGCACTTAGTATTCTTCTGGCAGGAATTCCATCCCAATCAGCTTTAACACTTATTGTTAGTGTTACTGTTATGATTTTTGATTTCAAATGTTCAAGGATAAGTAACTAGATTGTTTAAATATCAGCAGAAGATGTTATTTTCTCATCTGAACCTCATCACCTTTACCTATCTCATATAGAGCAAGTTAACCCTTAATTGTTTTGTTTTTTCACCCATTCAAGGTTCTTGGGGTATTTCGCAATAACTTTGCAACCAGAGAAGCTTTTTCATTCTGACTTCAGTTCTACATAGTTTAATCAATTACCTTTGAGCAAAATTATTTCAAACATCTACTCTTTACATTGACATGGATTTTTACAATGTAGGATACTTGAAATTATTTGTAAAGCTAGGAAATGGGTCAAAAGTGAATTTCACGAGACAAAAATGGCGGCCATTTTGAAAATTTTGAAGCTTTTGAACCAGGAGTCATAGGGGGGTTTTCTGTATTGATGTTGAACAGAAATAACTCAAAACAGGAATCCTATCGACAGAGGTTTTAAAACGTGCCACTATTGTTGACGGATGGACGGACGGACGCACGCACGGACGGACAGACAGACGGACAAGTGAATGATTGCAAAAGCTCACCATGTGAGCTATAAGCAAGCTAGATAAAAATTGAAAAAGTGAGCCAATGTGGCAAATAAAATTTAAGCAACACTCGCTATTCAAATATAAAAAAGAGATGAATTGGAGAATTTTACAATTTGCCAAATTAAATCGGCCGCCAAATTAAGTTGACTAACAGTATTATATAATCATATTTTGATTATTAATATATATCTTGTTTACCAGGTATATATCTGATATCAGTAACAGGATACATTAGTCACTTACAACATTATGCAAGTACAACTTTACTTGTGCAAACAAGGCATTACACAACAATAAAATGCCTTTTACAAGACTACGTATATTGCCAGGTTGAAATTTACATAAAAATAAGCATTTGCGAAAGATAAGGAATACCAACAATAAAGATATCAAACATAAGTTACAAAAAATAGTGGCTATAACATTATGATCCGACTTCTTGGTGGTGATACATATCCACAAATAAAATTATCGACAGAATCTAGTATTTTCCCTAATTCCAAGATAAAAGAAAAAAATGTTCATTTGACAGTGATCTTATTATAAAGACCATTGCAATCGACGGAATCTACGAGTAAATTTCCTAATTCCAAGATAAAAGAAAAAAATGTTTATTTGACAGCGGTCAAAGATCATTACAATAGAAGCAAGGAATAATTTATTTAAAAAAAACAAACATTTCCTTTATAAAATGTTAAATTTTCATGTATGCACAGTTTTCTTACTACCTCGTTGCTAACCCCCCTATCACACCAAACTAGTTCTTACCCGTTCTTGCCAGTCCTACGAAAACGTCGTAAACGGGCTCAATCTGGCTGTGGTCGGGAAATATGTCTAAAATAATTAGCTACTTCGTTCATAAACAGTATTCAATACGTCCATCTCGTTCGCACTTCGTTCAGGTCGCACCACGTCGGTGTACAACGTCTTATAACGCGTCCCTTAGTCTAGAAGGTCATCATGACCTGATTACAGAACGGTATGATCGCCATCGAATTTTGAATCGATTCAAAATTCTAAATCACATTCCCCGTCCGGGAAAGTCCATGAAGTTCGTAAACAGACCGTAGAACGTTGTAGCTACGTTCATTCAGCTCGCACACAGTTTATAACCAGCTTTGAAGAACGCAGTGGCAACTTGTCTGGTGTGTTATAATTTTTGCTAACTCGTTCATAAGTAGTCTTAAATACGTTCTTAATCAATTTTAACCCGTTTGTAATTAGTTCTACCTCGTTCTCAATACGTCCCCAGACAGTTCAACTCGTTGTTAAAACGTCCCTAGTAGGACTGAAGTACGACGGTTCCGTTCGTAGTACGTCCAGCTCGTCGTTAGTACGTTGTCACTCGTTCTAATTGTAGAACGTGACGACCAGAAGAACATTTTGTGCATGTTCTAAGTTTTAGAGGACCTACCCGTTCGATGAAGTTTGTAAATAGACCCCAAACGGTTCTAAGTACGTCCAGTCCGTTCTTACACACTTAAAACCCGTTTTCGAGAACGTAGTGAAAACTAGTTTGGTGTGATAGTAGGGTAACCCTCGTACTCGAACGGGTAGGTTCCCTAGAACTTAGAACATACGCAAAATGTTCTCGTGGTCTATACGTTCTACAATTAGAACGAGTGACAACGTACTAACGACGAGTTGGACGTACTATGAACGGAACCGTCGTACTTCAATCCTACTAGGGACGTTTTAACAACGAGTTGAACTGTCTGAGGACGTATTGAGAACGAGGTAGAACTAATTGCAAACAGGTTGAAACTGATTAAGAACGTTTTTAAGACTGCTCATGAACGAGTTAGCAAAAATATAGCTATCACACCAAACAAGTTGCCACTGCGTTCTTCAAAACTGGTTTTAAACTGTGTGCGAACGGAATGAACGTAGCTGCAACTTTCTAAGGTCTATTTACGAACTTCATGAACGTTCTCAGACGGGAAGGTGATTTTAGAATTTTGAATCGATTCAAGATTCGATGGCAACCATACCGTTCTGTAATCAGGTCATGATGACCTTCTAGACTAAGGGACGCGTTATACGACGTTGCACACCGACCTGGTGCGACCTGAACGAACTGCGAATGTGATGGACGTATTGAAGACTGTTTATGAACAAAGTAGCTAATTATTTTAGACATATTTCCCGACCACAGCCAGATTGAGGCCGTTTTACGACTTTTTCGTATGACTGGCAAGAACGGGTAAGAACTAGTTTGGTTTTATAGGGGGGTTAGATTTAAATATGCTAGTATAAATGTAGATATGAATCTAAATTTGTATCTATTTAACAATTTTTTGATAAATGATTAGTTAAATCTGAGTTGTGACACTACACTTTAATATTTTTGCCTGAATTTTTGCATACATATAGATATTAGTATTCTATTAGTGTTAGCCTTTAGCCGTAAAGAATTTAACACCCAAAGAGTCTCAATTTTGATGTAAATGGAACAAAAGTATACCTACGACAATGACCTTATAATTTCAAAATCTTGCATATATGAAAGGCAAGTAGGATAATTCCAAGTGATATTAAATTATACGAGAAAGTGACACGCTTCAATAATTTCATAAATAAAATAGAAAAGTGACAATTTAGCATATAGTACTTTACCATTAATCTGCATTATGTATATTATGTATATGATATGATTATTTTATTTAAATAAACATCCTGTATTGCTGGTGTTATAGTCTCAGGTACATGGACATTAATCCAAATTAAAATATTGAAAAGACTGCTACTGACAACAACATCACAATGCTGAAACTTATTTTTCTGATCATCTTTACAATATGTGTCACCACAGATGCATGTAGTAAGTATTCTATTTTATAAACATTTACATCTTAATTTATAGGAGTATGGAGAACTAAATGGCTGAACAAAGTTAAAAAATGTTATAACACATTCCAATTTTGAACTGACATGTTAAAGATCAAAACTAAAAATATAATGCATTTAACGTGTAAATGTCAAAAGAAATGTTTTATTGTTTGTGAAGTCACAACTGTTATACAATGACAATAACACAAAGCTGGAATTACAAGGACAACTCAAAGAGGGCATGTTAAGTTTGGGGAATAACTTCCCAGTATTTTATGAGCTTATCGACACATATCTATTAAATAGGTCTGTAATTAAATCATATCATCATTGCAGATTGGTCACAAATTCCTTTATTAACCCTTCCCGACTTGAATATAAGAGGAAAATGTTGGCCCTGGTGACGGATAAGTAAGAGCGGTTATTAGGGGAAAACTGCAAATTACATACGCCTTGGGACCTATACCTTGAATTTTATCACTGAAAGACAACTTTTAGAAAGGATTATAACATTAGAACTTGTCAAAATTTGGTGTAAAAAATACTGAATAGAACTGGAAATATTGTCATTTCACTGGTGTGTATAAATGATATAATGGTGCCAAAAGTAGCCCATCGTCCTAAAAGGTATTACATAATAGGGCTCCATATGGAGACTTTCGTCGTGAAAGGGTTAATCACATTGAAACTTAATTTGTTTTAGATCACCAGAGTTTGACTTTGACACCACCTAATGTTCATCTTTTTGAAAATGCTAATTTTTTGTTGTTTTTCTTTGAATTCAAAATTGCAGATCTCTGGATCATTTTTGTTAAATAATTGATGGTAAAGGATGGACTGATATCACATAGAAAGAGAAAACGCACATTTTAAAATTTCATTTGTATAATATATCATTTATTAGGGACACTCTGTAATTGGTACACAGAAACTTCACTTCTTTTTTTCTCTGCCATTAGCCTTGGGAAACAAGATCATTTGTCCAAGCTGAAGCTTTTATTGCAATAGTATTGTTTTTACCTTTGTTTTGTTTTTACCTTTTAGATCCAGAGACAAATAATAAATTACAGAGAGCCCTGACAGATTATCTTAGTAACTTTAATGCGGGAGACTGGAATGCCACGGCAGATCTCTATGCAGATAATGCAACCATGGCAACAGCTGGTGCTTTTTATCGTGGAAATGAAGGTATGCGAGGTCAAAGGATGTCCATGAAGGCCACCTGGGTTAGACAAATAAATTAGTACAAAAATGAGGACATCCTATATCATTTATATATCATTTTTAATCATAGAGGACAGCAAAGGAACATTCACTTTCTACTTGTACTTCACTTTCTTCTATCTCTACTTCTGTTTTTTGCCAGAATTCTAATGAAAACATCCACACTAGACAAGCAAGGTAGCAAAAATACATTATTATTAATTATTATACAATTACATTATTAACAAGGCATTAACATGCAAAATGTTATCACCTGCCATTTGTAACATATGCCAACCATTGAATGCCAAACACCAACTGCCACATACCAACCACCAAACATCATCCACAAAAAAATAGACTATAAGAATATGTCATCACTTGTTGTGGTGACAAAAAAATTACATCTGAAACAATAATGCTTCAACTATTTCTTTAAGCAATAAGGCAATTCTACATTCATAAGTTTGATGGTAAGGATTATGTGATGACACCTAACAACACGGAGTATGACTGCTCTAGAAACATTGTCGTCACAAGCCAAGACTGTGAATTAAAAACACAAGATGGGCAACTGGTTACATCAGTGAGGTAAATATGAATCTAAATCAGAGGGGTTTATTTATGATATATGGAACTTTTTATTTAATAATGGGCCTACATGTATGTTTACTTACCCCCCTATCACACCAAACTCGTTCTTACCCGTTCTTGCCAGTCCTACGAAAACGTCGTAAAACGGCCTCAATCTGGCTGTGGTCGGGAAATATGTCTGAAATAATTAGCTTCTTCGTTCTTAAACAGTCTTCAATACGTCCATCTCGTTCGCAGTTAGTTCAGGTCGCATCACGACGGTGTGCAACGCCGTAGAACGCGTCCCTTAGTCTAGAAGGTCATCATGACCTGATAACAGAACGGTATGGTCGCAATCGAACTTTGAATCGATTCAAAATTCTAAAATCATATTCCCGTCTGAGAACGTTCATAAAGTTCGTAAATAGTCCTTAGAAAGTTGCAGCTACGTTCATTCCGTTCGCACACAGTTTAAAACCAGTTTTGAAGAACGCAGTTGCAACTTGTTTGGTGTGATAGCTATATTTTTGCTAACTCGTTCATAAGCAGTGTTTAATACGTTCTTAATCAGTTTAAACCCGTTTGCAATGAGTTCTACCTCGTTCTCAACACGTCCTCAGACAGTTCAACTCGTTGTTGAAACGTCCCTAGTAGGATTGAAGTACGACGGTTCCGTTCGTAGTACGTCCAGCTCGTCGTTAGTACGTTGGCACTCGTTCAAATTGTAGAACGTGACGAACACGAGAACATTTTGAGCATTGTCAAGTTCTAGAGGACCTACCCGTTCGAGTGCGTTCGATGAAGTTTGTAAATAGATCCCAAACGGTTCTTAGTAAGTCCAGTCCGTTCGTACACAGTTGAAGCCCGTTTTCGAGAACGTAGTGAGAACTAGTTTGGTGTGATAGTAGGGTTAGCTTTCCATATTGAACATTACATGGTATTAGAAGATTAAACCAAAAGATGAAAAAACACTCTTCTCACAAGAGGTTAAAATGGCAATTCATTCATATGCCTTACACACGCAAAGGCGTAGTGCCCATTATGACTGATACGTACAGACGGTTGCAAATACACTCCAAATTTAAACCAAACTTAAAAAACAAGACCCCCTGAACCCAACATTTTTCGCTTCGCTCAACTCGTATTTCCATATGGTAGTGTACTACTCATAAAAATAGCACTACGTCCATGACATTCATATAAAATATCTTCAAATTCTTGCTTGCAGATTTATGAGGGTGCTCCGGAGAATTAATGGGAAGTGGAAATCTATTCGAGAAATGGACACGCCAATGTAATACATGAAGTAATAATACATCAATTTGAATGAATGCAAATATTGATAACTCTCTATTCAAATATACATTTAATGTAGACACATACATTTTATTGTACTTAATTTAGGAATACAAATCAATATAAGAAATTGAAAATAACAATAACAAAAATAACAATGCATTCACATGAACCAAATCTGTTTTCTGGTATTTGAGTCTTCAAACATTACGTCTTTTTACTGAAAAATGGTGGCCATTTTGAGATTCGGCTGCCATTTTAAAAAATCCTTCTCAAGCAGAGCTTGTTCGTCCCTAGACATATAAAATTTGAACCAATTCTGTCAAATAGTATTTAAATAATCAAAGATAACATATTTTTACAAAAATGGTGGCCATTTTGAGACAGCCATCTTGAAAATCTGTTCTTGGGCAAAGTTTCTTTGTCCTACATATGGAAGGCACTATGGGTGTAGGCCCCGGGGTGTAGGCCGGGGTGTAAGACCTCTATATCCGACCAAACTTCACACAATACCCTACTTATGCTTTTTATATAGATAGTCCAATGTTAGTGATAAATTTGTTCTACATGTTAAACTGTTTCAATGCAACTTGAAGGCACTTCTACTTACAAGTTACAATACCCATCAAATTGATGATGCCAAATGTATGTATGTAATACTACAAATAATTTTAAATTATACTCTATATAGCCACTTAATTGAGAACTGGGAGTAGTCGCTATAAATTCAAGAATTAAATTAATAATAATGTTTTACACTGCCAAATATTGCTAAGAACTGAAAAGCCCCTGCAAAGCTGACCCCTATGACATTTAGAGAATGAACCCTGAACTTAAGCTGGTTTTACAAGTTTGTGACCCTGTAAGGAGATTAATATCTGGTTATCTGCAAAATAAAGCACTACTACTACTCTTCACTTTGACATGGATTTAAACAATGCAGGACACCTGAAATTATTTGTAAAGCTAGGAAATGGGTCAAAAATGAAGTTCACGAGACAAAAATGACAGCCATCTTGAAAATAGGTGAGCTTTTGAATCAGGAGTCAGAGGGGAGTTTTCTGTATTGATGTTGAACAAAAATAACTTAAAACGATAATCCTATCGACAGATGTTTTAAAACGTGCCACTATTGTTGACGAACGGACGGACGGACGGACGGACGCACGGACAGACAGACGGACAAGTGAGTGATTACAAAAGCTCACCATGTGAGCTAAAAACTATCATTTCTTTACACTAATAAATCAATGATAATTTAAGCGATTGGCTTATCATTCTGACCAAAAATTTGACTATTTGCACCATTCATTCTTCACTCAGAATTCTCACACCAGTTCTATTATCATACCTGTGGTGTTAAAGTTCCTTCCTCTTTATTCAGTAAAGCATTTTGTACAATTTCTTTACCGATGCTGCCTTTGTATAAATCATGTTCATCCATTTTTCATCAATATAAATCGAAAACTAGACTTTGCCCATGTATTTTTGTACTCACTCCCTTGACCCACTCTTCAAGTAATGTGCAAACTGCGGGTTTGTCAAGTTGCGCCAAAAAAAGTAGATCATATACGTGACCCAAAGCGTCGGACGTGGTAAGGTACATGGGCTGTGGTTCTATTCCATGCGTAATGGTGTTTTCATGACTTGACGTAACTGGTGTTTTTTTTATTTTAACATGTACATAGCAGTTAATATTTAATCATTTGTGAGTTGGAGTTGGCAGATATTTGGGTTGAAAGGTGTTTTAGTAGAGAGGTAAAGTAACACGTTTTTAAGAGAACCTGACGCGTAATACCATAGTATTTCGACCCCGGGGATTACTGTCTCCCTTCGAAGTGCCTTTTACAAGGATCTAACTACAATTATTTCGGTCAAGTAAACAGTACAAATGGGAGAACTTATCAACAGAGGACCATATTTCTACACGTTCAAGTTTTTATTATTAGAAAACGTGTATCTTAACCTCTCTTAATTTTGGCCTCGGGGTCCCATACTTTCGGGACACCCTGTACACCCTGTAAACAAAATGGTGGACATGAAATATTTAGCATTCACAATGGTTTGAGCTTTATTATACACTAACAATGCAAGAAGTGCACATTTTCATACCCCTTCGTTGTTCCTGGGAAAGGTAAGATGATTTGTGGAAATTTTGAACTCTTGAAATTGTGTGACTGTTACAAGGCTACTCCTTGAAATTTTCAAAAATTTGCTTCACTTCACACTCTTCATGCTAGCTTTGGGGACCCATGCACCTCCAATTCATAGTTTTGAAAAATGCGTTTATGTGTGATGTTAACTTTGACATATTTCTTTAGTCAAGATATACAATTCATATACAGGTAAACATTTTTTGTACTTTTTATTTAATTTAGCTTCGCCTTAACAATATTTATGCTAGACATCCAGATTTAATTAAGATTAAAGATTTAAGATTAAGATTAATCTAGACATCCACTTTATGTGAGTGTTTCCAATATTGCAATACTATATCTTGATTTATTCTGATGAGAAACGTTAACATACACTAGGTTGCAAAGGAGGTTATATTTAATGTTTTAACATACCTATGATGATGTATAGTGCAAAGTGTACACAAGACAGCGTGCCAATATAAGTTTTGAAAAGCTCGCGCCCGCTAACTTTCTGATTGGTCAAGGCGCTGATGTCATAACCAATCAATCGAAGATAAAACTGCGCGAGCAATTTTTCTAAACTCATTTTAATCATCTTCAAACCATTTGTTTGTCAATTCTATTAAGAAAACGTTACTCTCTGACAAGTCTACATCATCATAGGTATGTTATAAATCGTTTATGTCACTATCGTGGCACATATGCCCACGGTTCTCAGAGATCAATGTCCCTCCCAAGGTCGGGCCATATTCACTGAGACCTCGGGCATATATGCCACGATAGTGACATAACCTCTAATTACAATTTTACAGTTACTCTAAGAGCGAGGAGGAAAATTCTTAATAAATGGAGTATAGTTGGTTTGGCAGCATTTTCAGTTAGGGGGAAGTCTTGGATGAAAATTCTACCTAGGTGATAGCTTCGCAGAGTGGTACATAATTCTTTTTTTTCAGGGGTTAGTCGCCCACCCCCCCCAAAACACCCCACCCCGGTAAAATAATTTTTTCATTCTCAATAACTTTAGATATCTTGATGTTTGTAAGTTACATACATAGACATTATATATATGAATCATTTGAAAAATAAATAATGCCAATCACTCCTACAGAATTTGAATAATAGTACAAAGTGTGTACCCTAGGGGGCAAATTCGTGACCCATTTTCTTACTATTTAGAGCCTCACTTTTCAATTAGACACTGGAAGACATTGGAAAAATTCATATGAAGTGCCCAGTAGCAGGCCTATGAGCCCTGAAAGGTTCAAACTAATTGAATCAGTAGGAGCTTAGAAAAAAATTGTTGATTTTTTGAAAATTTTGACATTTTCGAGATGGGTGATTTTGTGTATGACTATAGCTGACGCTTATAGTTTCTAGATCCATCCCTCTTTGATGTTAAATATGGTTTTAAAGTGTAGAACTAAGATGTAAAAAATAATTAAAATGGGTTTTAAGGAAGTTTAAAGTTTTAAATAAGTCCAAAATTTGAAGAATTGTATAATATCAGGTCTGAATTTACAAATTTTAGGTATGACCTAGGATGACCCTTATGTTTTTTATATCTGTCCCTCTTTGATGATATTTATGGTTTTTTAGTAACAAACTAATATGTAAAATATAATTTAGATGGATTTTAAGAAGGTTTAAGGATTTTAACAAGTCAAAATTTGAAGAATTGTACTATATCAGGTCTGAATTTATGAATTTCAGGTAAGACCTTGGGTAAGCCTTATATTTTTTACATCAGTCCCTCTTTGATGATATGTATTGTTTTGTAGTGTGGCACTAGGATGTACAATTAAGATGGATTTTAAGGAGGTTTTAGGATTTTCACAAGTTCAAAATTTGAAAAATTGTACAATATTAGGTCTGCGATTAACACATTTCAAGTATAACCTTGGTTGGTTCTCATGTTTTTTACACCTATCCCTTTTTCATGATATATTTGGTTTAGTAGTGTTGAAATAATATGTATAACATAATTTGGATGGGTTTTAAAAAAACTAAATGTTTTAAACAAGTTCAAAATCTTGGCGAATAGTACAATATCAGATCTGAAATTAACATATTTCAAGTATAACCTTTGTTGGCCCTTATGTTTTTAACATCCCTTTTTGATGATATATATATGGTTTAACAGTGTGGAACTAAAAGGTAAAACATAATTAAAATGGGTTTTAAGGAGGTTTAAGGTTTTAAACAAGTTAAAAACTTGACAAATTGTACAATATGAGACATGAAATAATCAAATTTCAGGTATAGCCTTAGATGAGCCCTATGTTTTTTTTACATATATCTCTCTATGATAACATATATGGTTTTGTAGTATGGAACTAAAGTGTAAATCATAATTTAGATGGGTTTTAAGGAAGTTTTAGATTCTAAAGAGGTTCAAAACTTGACAAATTGTACAATATCAGGTCTGAAATTAACAAATTTCAGGTATAGATTTGAATGAGTCTCATGCTCTTTACATTCTAAACCTCTTTGATGATTTACATGGTTCTGTAGTGTGGGACTAAAATGTAAAACATAATTTAGGAATTTGGGGTTTTAAGGAAGTTTAACCCTAATGTCTGCAGGGGAGGGTGGGGGTCAAATTGACCTACCCCTCTGTTTTTTAAATGGTACTTTTTGCAAGTTTTTCTTGTGCCATCATTATTATTTTTAGCTTGAGCCACAGATAAATGACACCTTTTGGTGTAAAGATCAAGGTGATTGGGGGTAGAGGTGCAAAGTTATGATAGTCCGAAGTTGATCCCAATAAAAATGAAATTTATGAAATACGTATTGATGGTTACCCTGTTTTTAATACTATAAAAAATGCAAAATGATGATAATTTCTAGATAATCATTTAGCAATAAGTAATAAATATAAACCTCCTTAAAACCCCAAATTCCTAAATTTTGTTTTACATTTTAGTTCCACACTACAAAACCATGTAAATCATCAAAGAGGTTAAGAATTTCAGACCTAATATTGTACAATTTCTTTTGTTTTGAACTTCTTGAAAACCTTAAAGAGAGAATCAGATCCAGCAAGCAGCCAAACAAAAAATTGTTTAAATTTTTGAATATTTCTGGCTTATGTCATTCTTTTTCATGTCTATTTGCTAAAAATCCCCAAAGTGCACAATTTAGTGTAGGAAAACTAAAGATTTCTACAATAATGTATTATTTTTCCATAAGAATGGTTACCATTCTTATTATTTTGGAAGTATTTAAACACTTTTCCCCCATTTTTGCACTTTGAATCCATTATAACTTCATCAGTTTTTAACACATCATGAATCTTTTTAAAGATATTGTATTTTAGATTGTAAGGAATAGATTGGTAGGTGAATTGTACATGTTGCTTGTAATTTTATCACCCCTATAGATCTGATTCTGCCTTTTAACTTCCTTAAAACCGATCGATCTAAATTATGTTTTACATCTTAGTTCCATACTACTAAACCATATATATCATCATAGAGAGATATATACCTAAAATTCGTTAATGTCAGATATGATATTGTACAATTTGTCAAGTTTTGAACAGCTTTAAAACCTTAAACCTTCTCAAAACCCATCTAAATTATGTTTTACCTCTTAGTTCCATACTACTATATATTACCAACCATATATTATATAATCATTGAGAGATAGATGTAAAAAACGAATAAGGGCCATCCACAGTTATACCTAAAATTAATAAATTCCAGACCTGTTATTGTACAATTCTTCATATTTTTAACTTGTTTAAAACCTGTCTAACTTATGTTTAATATCTTACTTCAACACTACTAAACCATATATGCCATCAAAAAGGGATAGGAGTAAAAAAACATAAGGCTCGTCCAAGGTAATACCAAAAATTCATTAATATCAGCTCTGATATTGTACAATGCGTAAAAATTTGAACTTGTTGGAATCCTTAAACTTCTTTAAAACCCATCTTAATCATGTTTTACATATTAGCTCCACACTACTAAACAATATAAACATATATCATCAAAAAGGGATAGATGTTAAAAATATAAGGGCCAAGCAAGATTATACTTTAAATTCGTTAATTTCTGATATTGTACAATAGGCCAAGATTTTGAACTTGTTTAAAACGTTAAGCTTCTCTAAAACCTATCTAAATTATGTTTTACATATTTCCACACTACTAAACCAAATATATCATGAAAAGGGGATAGGTTTAAAAACCATATGGGCCAACCAAGGTTATACTTGAAATTTGTTAATTGCAGACTTGATATTGTACAATTCTTCAAATTGTTTAAATCCTTAAACCTTCTTAAAATGCATCTAAATCATTTTTTACATCATAGTTCCACACTACAAAACCATACATATCATCAAAGAGGGACAGATGTAGAGAATATAAGGCTCATCCAAGGTCTTACCTAAAATTTGCAAATTCAGACCTGATATTGTACAATTCTTCAAGATTTGTTGGAATCCTAAAACCTTCTCAAAATTCATCTAAATTATATTTTACATCTTAGTTCCATACCATAAAACCAGGAATATGATCAAGGGGGATATAGATGTAAAAAACAAAAGGGTCGTCCACGGTCATACATGAAATTCAAAAATACAGATCTGATATTATACAATTCTTCAAATTTTGGACTCATTAAAATCCTTAAACACTCTTCAAAACCATCTTAATCATTTTTGCATCTTAGATCCACACTATAAAACAATATATATCATCAAAGAGTGACAGATGTAAAAATATAAGGCCCATCCAAGGTCTTACCTGAAATTCGTAAATTCAGACCTGATATTGTACAATTCTTCAAATTTTGAACTCATTAAGATCCTTAAACCTTCTTAAAATTCATCTACATTATATTTTACATCTTAGTTCCACACTATAAAACCATGAATATCATCAAAGAGGGAAGGATGTAAAAAACGTAAGGCTCGTCCAAGGTCATACCGGAAATTCATAAATTCAGACCTGATATTGTACAATTCTTCAAATTTTGGACTCATTTAAAATCCTTAAACCTTCAAATCCATCTAAATTATTTTTACTCATTAGTTTCACACTACAAAACCATACATATCATCAAAGAGGGACAGATGTAAAAAATATAAGGCTCATCCAAGGTCTTACCTGAAATTCATAAATTCAGACCTTATATTGTACAATTCTTCAAATTTTGGATTTGTTAAAATCCTTAAACCACCTTAAAAACCATCTAAATTATTTTGTACATCTTAGTTCTATACTACAAAACCATAAATATCATCAAAAGGGGACACATGTAAAAAATCTAAGGCTCATCCAAGGTCATACCTAAAATTCGTAAATTCAGACCTGATATTGTACAATTCTTCGAATTTTGAACTTGTTTAAAACTTTTAACTTCCTTAAAACCCATTTTAATTATTTTTTACATCTTAGTTCCATACTTCAAAACCATATTTATTATCAAAGAGGGATAGATCTAGAAACCATAGGCCTCAGCTATAGTCATACACAAAATCACGCCTCTCAAAAATGTCAAATTTTTCAAAAAATCAACAATTTTTTTCTCGGCTCATACTAATTCAATTAATTTGAACCTTTCAGGGCTAATAGGACTGCTACTGGGCACTTTAGGTGAATTTTTCCAATGTCTTCCAGTGTCTGATTGAAAAGTGAGGATCTAAATAGTAAGAAAATGGGTCACGAATTTGCCCCCTGGGGTACACACTTTGTACTATTATTCAAAATCTGTAGGAGTGATTGGCATTATTTATTTTTCAAATGATTCATATATATAATGTCTATGTATGTAACTTACAAACATCAAGATATCTAAAGTTATTGAGAATGAAAAAATTATTTTACCGGGGTGGGGTTATTTTGGGGGGTGGGGGGCTAATCCCTGAAAAAAAAGAATTATGTACCACTCTGTGAAGCTATCACCTAGGTAGAATTTTCATCCAAGACTTCCCCCTAACTGAAAATGCTGCCAAACCAACTATACTCCATTTATTAAGAATTTTCCTCCTCGCTCTTAGAGTAAGTGATTTCTTCCACATATTCGAACCATACAGATATCTCAAAAAATTATTATTTAGGTTTTTCTAAAAATTGGAATGATTTAATATGTCAATTGTTTTTAATACATAGAATTCAATAATTGAGAAGAAATAGTTGTTTTACACTTCAAGAATCACACTATGTAATAAAGGTATAAACCATGTAAGAAACAAAATCATGAGCTGGGATCATTTACCTATAACTCACAATACATGTTTGGGTTTAAGTATATAAGAGCCCAGGATAAAGAGTTGTCTTTTTACTTTACAGAAGCCTTTAGGTTATTCTTCAGGTCTTAGTATGCCATTGAGGTGAGAAAATAGATCCTATTGTTTCCTTAATAGCCCTTAGTGACTCCGCATGGTGGTGCTTTAATAGCTCTTATAGTAGTCCCGTGGAGCTTTGGTACTTTGTGATGGTTTCCCACACAAGATGTGTTAATTAACTTGATAAAGTATTCATTTGTATCACAATACACTAGAATATTTTACAAATGGTTGATTGTATTGACTTTAGATTTTATAAACTCCATGTCTGAGATTATGTCATTTATTAGAAGTAAAAAGAGATGTGAGGTATAAAAACATCAGTATAAGACACATCCAATATAAGGCAGTAACATGCAAAATGTAACCACCTGCCATTTATTACAGACACTGAACGCAGAACACCAACCGCCAAACACCATCCACAAAAAAAGTTTGAGACTATAACAATATGAAACCACTTCTGGTGGTGACATACATTACAATGTATCTTTTTGAAAAAAGTGATAAAAATGAATCATAGACTGTATCATCAAACAAATGATCACAGAGGAAAGTACTGTTAGATAACTGTCACATATCATATTTGAAATCCAGCAACCCTTGCATTGGTCATTTAGCTGTGAGTGTTACAAATTTTGGATTAGTTACACGTCACAGTTGGAGTGTTACATTTTGTGGTTGAGCTCTAGCTTCCCATTTGCTTCTGCTTCTTCTTGTAATCCATTGTTTTTAATTACATTAACTTGTGGAATGTCATCAACTTTGGGATCACCATCAGTGATTTTATCACCGTCTCCTCCCACATTGTCATTAGCATTATTCTTGCTATTGTCATTATTCATCAAACTAGCTTTGGTCATATCACTTTTGGTAACATCATCATCCTTAGATGCAATATTACCATCTATGAATACGTCATTGGAGCTAACAGCTTCAGCGTCTTTAACATTTTCCTCTTCTTTTAGTCTTTCAAGTTTTTCCTCCTTGAGTCTGTCTTTCTTGTTCTGGTACCTCTTGGCCAGTGGGTTGAGGAGCAATAATGTGAAGGCAAGTAGGTTCAGTACACCAACTACTATGAATGAGACGTCATATGTGCCTGTCACATCTTGAAGGATACCTGGAAATAAGTGTCATATTATGTGTTAACATTTACATGTAGAAATCCAGCAGACATAACAGCTGCAAGTTACATCGCAGCTGCAAGTTACATCACAGCTACAAGTTACATTGCAGCTACAAGTAATATCACAGCTGCAAGTTACATTACAGCTACAAGTTACATCACAGCTGCAAGTTACACCACAGCTACAAGTAACATCGCAGCTGCAAGTTACATCACAGCTGCAAGTTACATCGCAGCTGCAAGTTACATCACTGGTGCAATTTACAGCAGCTGAAAGCTACGTCACAGGTGCAGGTTACACTGACACTCTACTGGAACCAATGAAAAAAACTGCTTTTTAATTAAGATTACTTCAGCGAAATTATGGGTGATTTTTTTACTGTTTAAAATATAAAAAAAATACAAGAGACATAATTATGTTAGCCAAGATTTTATGAATGTTAAAATTGTGTGATTTAGAATTCATGTGTTCACTGTTACATCTAATTAATATGTTTTTCAAAAAAATTTCAAAAGACATATCACAATGATGTATCATTGGAAAGCAATGGGAGCATAACTTTGACTTACCAACTATCATAGGTCCACCGAGGTAGCCTAATCCAACAAACATCATGCCTATCCCCATGGCGGGAGCTAGAGCATCCATTCCAAGGAGATCTACCAATACTACGGCAAGTAACGCCATAAATGTTCCACCAAATATACCAATCAGGACAGCATATACATAGAACACAATCTCTCCTTTGATGAATGGCAGGATAATGGAGAGCATACCAGGCATAAACATTCCTACTGCTACGATATGGATTCTTTTAACGTATCCTAGATCACCGAACCATCCACATGAGATTCTTGCAAAAAAGTCACCGGCACCCATGATTGTAACCAACAATGATGCTTTGGTTTTAGTCATTCCTGTTTCATACCCAAAAGGTGTAGTGTACACAAATTGAGAGGAATACGCCATTGAGCAAATCATACATGATGTGGCGAAGAGGAGAAACACAGCATTAGTTATTAAACTCACGTCAAATACTGATGCCCCTTTCTTGATGCTGGCCCGTAATTTAGTCAATTTCTGTCTAAATGATAATTTCTCCTTTGGTTCAATGTCTTTAGGAGTGTCAGTATCAGTCTGTGATCTTGCCTTCTGTTCGTTTTCCTCATAGGCTTGGAATGAAGCCTCAGCAAGAGAAACATTACTCGCAAAAAGCTTCTTAGGGCTGATAGGAGTGCTAGTATTTTGCCCATTTATGAGATTCTCAGACTGAGATTTCTTACGATCGAGATTATGATCCCTAAATTCATAATCTGAGCTTTTTAAATACTCAATACTTTTATGAATTGGTTTTTTCATTAAAGGTTCATTTGTATCATTCAAATCATCTTTGTCCTCTGTTTCAACCATTGTATTATCTTTGGTGATTTTCCTGCGGACCTTCCGCCTGTAGAATGACAGAGGCCTGTAGAGGGCGCCACATACTATGATGTTAAAGTTGATAGCTCCCACAATGAGTAAACTATTCTTGAACCCTAAATTGTCCAACATATACCTGAAAATAAGCATTTTACAGAACTATAATTGCAGTTTAAAGTACATATTCTTTTAAAAGTAGGAAATATTTCACTTGACTTTGATGTTTGAAAAATCTCATATCAAACTGGTTGATAGAGGTTATTTACTGGGAGAGATTCAATATGGGTTTTATTCCGAGGGACAATATGGTATTTTCAGAGGGCCTGGGACAAATGGGATAAATGTCCATATTTCCACATTATAGACACTTACAAGACTTGATGATACATTAATACATTTGCGCAGCATTAGCATAGCTAAGCTTGTATTCACGAAAATGCTACAATCAGCTGTCAGCTACCGGTTAAATCTATTTTATGGGCAACTCATTTAAATATGAAGAGTATACCTGCCGCTATTCCTTTCATATTTAAATGAGTTGGTCATAAAACAGTAGGTAACTCCAGTAGCCAACAGCTGAAAGTTGCATTTGCGAATACAAGCTATTAGGCATGGCTGTATGTTTTCATGTTCTCACATCTTGGCTATATTATTTCACTGAGATGTAACTAGAATAACAGAAACTGCCACAGGTTCTTACATACAAAGGAATACTAGATAACAGTACTTACCTGAGGAGTATTGGGTAAAGGAGTTGACCAGTAGCTGAGCCAGCCATTGAAATGCCATTTGCAAGACTACGTCTATTTTTGAAGTATGTCACTAAGAGGACATAACTTGGTCCATAAGCTAACCCTGCTCCACATCCTGAAATACGGAACAATTCTCTGATAAACATATGATACTCATGTTGAAAAAAACATGTTCTTAAAAGGTTATACAAACCTAAAATAACTGAATCCTGTTGATCGGTGCTTCAAGTAAAGACCCACCTTAAGATTATACTGTATTACCCATAACAAATCTATATTAACATATTACCCTTAACAATATAGACTCTTTCTACACGATGCCACATTACCCTAAACAAAGCTAAAGACTTTTCTCACATAATCCTTAGCAATCCTTTTGACTCTTTCTACATTAAGGCATGTTACCTGTAATAAATCTTTTTACATGAAGGAACATTACCTGTAATAAATCTATAGACTCTTTTTAAATGAAGGTACATTACCTGTAACAAATCTATAGACTCTTTCTACATTAAGGCAGGTTACCTGTAATAAATCTATAGACTCTTTTTACATGAAGGTACATTACCTGTAACAAATCTATAGACTCTTTCTACATTAAGGCATGTTACCTGTAATAAATCTATAGACTCTTTTTACATGAAGGTACATTACCTGTAACAAATCTATAGACTCTTTCTACATGAAGGTACATTACCTGTAACAAATCTATAGACTCTTTCTACATGAAGGTACATTACCTGTAACTAATCTATAGACTCTTTCTGCACAAAGGTACATTGCAAATCTAGATTCTTTTTACATGAAGGTACATTACCTGTAACAAATCCATAGAAGAATACCACTGAGCCAATGTTTGGAGCGAACACAGTTAAGATGGGCCCAAGTCCACATAACACACCTGCTCCTATGACAGTCCATCTGATGCTGTATGCTGCCCCAAGACCAGTTCCAATGGGACCTGAGGAATATAGAGAGGATTACATGGATTAATGCATTTTCAATATTTTAACTTGGTTACATATAAACATTTCAATATTCTCACATTTGTCTTTATGCATGCACATAGGCATGACATTAAGAACTCACCACACATTCAAGTACTCACCACATATTCTTCAAGTATCAACCACACATACAAGTACTCACCACACAGTCAAGTACTCATCACACAGTCAAGTATTCACCACACAGCCAAGTACTCAACATACGTTAAACTACTCATAACACATTCAAGAACTCATAACACATTCAAGTACTCCCTACATATTCTTCGAGTATCAACCACACAATTCATACAAGTACTCACCACACAGTCGAGTACTCACCACAGTCATGTACTCACCACATAGTCAAGTACTCACCACACATTCAAGTACTCACCAGACAGTCAAATACTCATCACACAGTCTAGTACTCATCACAAATCAAGTACTCACGACACAGCCAAGTACTCATCACAAATCAAGTACTCACCACACAGCCAAGTACTCACCACACGTTAAACTACGCATAACACATTCAAGTACTCACCACATATTCATGTACTTACCACACATTCAAGTACTCACCACAGATTAAAGTACTCACCACAGAGTGCTGAAAATAGTCCAAAGATTCCAACAACCAACGATGACATCCCAGAACTGGCACCATAATATTCCACTATCTCCACAAAGAGTATTCCTATAGACTTGAAACATCCAGCAAAAAGAACGTTCATGAGGTAGCAACCTGGAAAATATAAAGAGAGGTTTTAAAACAAACCTGAATCTGCCAGTTTAACTGCTTCTCAGAACTCAATGTCCACTGGCGGATATGGGGGGGGGGGCCCAGGGGCCCGGGCCCCCCCCCCTTGGGTGGGCCCAGAAAAAAAAAATTGTGCCCAAAAAAAATTTTTGAGCCTAAACCCCAAAAAGTAGGCCTTTTTGGTCATAAATTGGCCTTGTAAGGCCTTATTTGTTAATTTTAGGCCAAATTTTGAAGAAAATGGGTCTCAAAATTTCAAAATTTGGGCCCACTTTTGAGTTTATGGGGCCCAAAATTTTTTTCCCCGCAAGCGCGGAAGTTTTTTTCTCAGACCACAAGTTTGGGCCCCCCCCCTTGTTGGTTCCCAGATCCGCCCCTGATGTCTTACCAATGGTTATCTAATTTTCATAGATACTTTCTATTCCTCCAATCTTTGTTTAGAGATTGGAGACTATGATCATCCACCTGAGAATTTTATTTTGGAACCAAGAGATAGGGGGGGGGGTGATTGGCAAGGAAATGATGCAGAAAAGTTGAGTGGGGGACTGGCAGTGAAATGAATCATACAGATTCAAGACTATCAAAGTAAGCAGATAACATCATGTATTAATTTACCATTCTCAATATACATGCACTTGGGGGCAAAATCCCTTATATCATCATCCACTGAAATGTTCAAGTGTAATGGTTTATTAATAAATCACGGTCCAAGGTCTAATCATAGCCAGGAAAAAACAATGTGCCTCAATTTAGAGCCTCCTCTTCTTAAAAATTCAAACAAGGTATCAATGACATGCCACCACCTGCCATTTGTTTCAGATGCTGACTGGCAATTGCTGAACACCAACCAGTGACCACCATCCACATAAAAAAACATGGAAATATATCTGTGATAATCTTTCTTGTAGATGCTTTGGGATAAATAGCATATCATGTACTCAAAGTATGTTCAAACATATACTATTGTGTTTAACACAATGCATATAGATACAGAACACACTTATAAAAATGCCCAGACTTAAATTTCATGTTAATGTCACTTTAAGTATATGTTCAAAAACCAACCCTCCCCTACTCATAAATCAGCCAGTAAAATAACTTTATTTAGGATTTTATAATGTTGAATTGCACTTCACATAAAAAATATGATCCTGAACTTGTGACATTATCAAGCTGCAAACCAAACGTGACTTAACAATCTTTTAAAAAACAATGTAAATGATAAATAAAAGTACATCATGGGGTGATTTTTATTCAAGGGCCCTTGAAGTTCAGAACAAGTTCACCTTTTTTTGTAATACTTGTAAATCTTTAAAAATGTATGCTCACCAACCACTAAGCTTTCCTTGTTCCTCTTAACTGATAACTACCAAATGCAGTTTACAGTTAAGTATTGAAGTGGCATGTATTTACTCTGCTGATATGTTAAATTTATTTGTCTGACGATTTTTTATGTACTTGTGTGTTTCTGTCTTTCTTTTATGCTTTAATGCAGTCAAAATAATGTCACAAATTCTAGACTTGAAGGAGAACAAAACAACAAATTAATTACAAAGAGCCAGAATATTAAAAAAATAAGAATTTTACAATACAAGAACATAAATTGTGATATCTTACCAAAAACCACTACCCATGCATAACCCCTGTCAATGGGAGGGTCATATTCCTCGACAATTTCATATTCCTCTTTCTCTGGTTTCTTTAAAGGTTCCATCTCCGTCTCTTCCGCTGGTATATTCTCCATCATGCTTTCACTGCCCTCGGTTAATCCTTTATCGGTCATATTGTCTGTTGTCTCTGTAAACCAATTAGGCCTATATCAGATAGTTATAACAATGCTGATAGTGAAAAACATACTGTAAATCTAGATAATGTTTTGGTGTTTTGACATTTTTGAGAAGTCCACATTTCTTAAATTGTGTTAGACAAATATATATATTGAGCCTCGGTGATAAAATCGATCTTTAAAAGTAAATTCTGTTAATGACAGTTGTTCTGTTGTTGCATCAGTCAATCTTAGTGAATAACATACTGTCTGAGTAGTGAGTAAATGAAAAAATGGAAGTCATCAAAACCTAAAAAATTAAGCAATCAAAGGACCAAAGTTCAACGTTTTATTAAAAAATAAATTCACATTTTTGACAAAAAAAATTTGTATATTTCAGATAAATTAGTTTTATGAGCAGCAGTAAACCCGTGACCTTTTGTAATTTATGGAACTTCAGCCAAAATATACAAAGAATAGTATTTACTGTAAAACATAAATGTATTTTTCCATATATAATTGCACCGTTCTTTCGTTACTAATTTTTATGTTTGATAGCCTTATATTTTCACTACTTTGTGTGGTAACATCAATTATAACTTTAACTATATAGAAAAAAATATATGTTACCTGACTAAAACGATATTTTAATTGAAACTAGTAATTAAAACGTTCTATATAATGCTGCTTCAGCTTTGAGAATACTTCACATGCATGTTAATTCCCATATTTGAACAGGTTCCCATCAAAGATTCAATGTTGAAACAGCAATTTGAGCCCATGCAAAATTTTGAATAGAATCTACTTTAAAAAACACAATTTGTTGATTCTTATTCACCAAATGTCTGGTTTCTAAGTACAAGTCTAGAAATAGAGTAATCATATATGAAGCCTGACTTCATTATTGGTGTATATTATCTAGAACAAAGAGAATTGCACTTTGAGTATTTTTTACCTGCTCTGTATGGTACAATTTGTAACTGTGATAACAGATGGTGATTAGGATACTGTTTGCAGCCTACTCCAGGTGTTATTTTATCAATATAAATCCAATATTATACTTGATAAATGATAACATAGATAGTGATGAATTTCTATATCACAGCTTATGATATGAGTACATGTTTCGCCATTTGGCCATATTGAGATTTTTAATATTTTATTGAATGGGCACCAGAATTAAATGCAGAAACAATTCATAAAACATCAAGATTATATCAAGGTATGCACACACTGGTAGCATCTGCTTGACCAACAGATATATTGTATGTACATTTACAATAATGTAATGTAACAACAGTTCTGATTGCAATTAATAAGGGTTAATGCAGCCATGATTGAATTGCTCCTTGATTGTATTATATTACATTTGCTACAAGCATGCTGTTACACACGACATACTTGAGTAATATAAAACAAACAACATGTAAATATTCTACATATGTTTTCGCTCACAGAGAAGTATTTTAAATGTGGCTTTAAGTTGAAGTATTACAACTTGTCTAAAAAGCTCTCTTATAGTTTGCTTGAGGGAGAGAGGTCTATTGGTGTTAAACCATCTTCTTTGCTTTTCTGTGTGTGAGGGAATCTTTGTCTAGCTACAAGCCCTTGTGACACCCCTCCCCCCCCCTTCCGCTACAACAAGTTGTAAGAGAAGGCGACGTGAGCACTGTGTAGTCAAGTAGAGGGGGGTCACATAGGCTTGTGACTAAACTAAGGAAATGCCCCCAACCCCATTCATCACATTATAAGGCGTAGTGATACACATGCCAACAAGCACTTTTTATGTCGAGGGGTTCACTTCCCCCTCCCGACTTTTCCTTTGCACAAAGGAAAATATCCAGCCCTTTGTGAAAACGGTGAGCCCGAGGGGTGAGCCAATGCCTCTTGCTAGACCTGGGACATGTCACCTACTGTATCACCATCTGAGTCTGGCACCTGATGAGGTCATAAGATCAAAATACTAGTTGTAGAGCAGTAACTTAGACCAACCTGTTTATACTCTAGCTGTTACTAAGGTCTTAGAATAGATGCTTGCATGTACATGTGTAGGACTGCAGAACAAGGAATGGAGAGATGGTCTTGGAACCAGATAATGCCTGTACTGCTATTTTATCCACATTCCACAATCAGCCAGTCTCAAGTATGAATATTCCAGTACAAGTTCGATATTGAATACATACAGTAATCCATCAACAATTCAACATTGACCCGGTTAGCATCTGATCTCTGAATATTTTATTTCATAAAATTTCATCAAATACTCAAAATAACCACTGAAAACACTAAATTCCTAGACGTATTCGTTCATTTCACTCTGTCTCTAATAGTCAACTGCTATCGTAAATTGTACATCATCATAATGCATTCAGGTCAACATTAAAAAATCAACATTTCCTCAAATATTGAAATAATATCCATGATAACTACGGTCTCCGGTTTCGATGCAGCTTTAGTTCAGAAGTGAATAAAAATGACTCAATGCTTTCCAAAAACGAGTTAACTCTTTGCAATCCAATTTGAATTAACCCTCTTAGCGCATTCTCGCAGTCGCATTATTAGATCGAATAATTTGCAAGGCTATATGCCCTATGAGACGGGATATGAGAAAAGGTTTGCTAAATCAATAAGTATTTGGTTTCAAAATTATGAACAGGACAATTTTAAACCAAATACTGGCTGGCCCTTCTCCCGGGGAACTTCTAATTGGCTTGAGACTCGAGTAAGACAAACCAGGGAAGACAAATTCATATCCCCTGATCGAGTTGATGTCCCAGGAGTTGATGAAGACCACTAGACATGTGAAAATGGAGTTGTGATACTGGATCAGTGGCGTAAACTCCGGCGGATGGGGGGGGGGGGGGGGGGATGTTAGCCTTTATAAGCACCCCCCTTGGTTGGCCCCAAAGATATCGAGGCCCAAAAAATTTATGGCCCAAAATCTGTAACAAATTGGCATCAACACTGGCATAGTCCTAACTGTGGCATCAGTCTTAATAATAAATCAGTGTCAGTTTGTTACCTAAATTGCCCATTCTGAAATTGCCCCCAAACCTCAGTGTTCCAAAAAGGACACATCTGTAAAGTTCATTTTTTATAATTTTTCTGCATCTCTGGATTTTTAATTTGAAGTATTAGTATTGATCATAATCATAGCAAGGTAGATGCTTCTGCAGGGCAAAATGTCAAACCTGGCAAAACCCTTGCAAAAAATTATAATTAGCAAATAAGAGTAATATGATTTATCATATGCTTAGATGCTTCGGCTCTTGCTCTGTATGTTACATGGTTTTGATTAAAATAATAAAAACCTTTAAACCTAAAAAAACACATGCTTAGAACAGAGTATAAAGATTTATCATATGCATAAAACATGTGAGAGTACATGTATAATGATTTATCATATGCTTTAAGTTGAGGGTAGTATGATTTATCATATGCTTAAAAATGTGAGTGTATTTTATTATATGCTTTAAACATGTAAGAGTGTTATGATTTATCATATGCTTAAAACATGTGAGAGTGCCTATATAACGATTTATCATATGCTTTAAGCATGTAAGAGTATTACGATTTATCATATGCTTAAAACATGTGAGAGTGCCTATATAACGATTTATCATATGCTTTAAGCATGTAAGAGTATTATGATTTATCATATGCTTAAAATATGCAAGAGTATTATGATTTAGCATATGCTTAAGATATGTAAGTTTTATGACTTATCATATGCTTAAAACATATGAGAGTACAACGATTTATCATATGCTTAAAACATGTGATTGTAATATGATATATCATACACTTAGAATGTATAAGAATATTAGAATTTAGTATATGCTAAGAATTCATATGAGAGCATTACTACTGATTTATCACATGGTCAGAATGCAAGAGAATATTAGAATTAATCATTTTCTTAGAACACATGATAGAGTATTACCATCCAGCATATGTTTGGAATATGTGAGCGTATTATGATTTATCATATGTTTAGAATGCAATAGAGTATTAAAATTTATCATTTGTATTACTATTAAGCATATGCTTAGAAGGTAAGAGTATTACTATCTAGCATATGCTTCGAGTATTATTATTTAGTGTATGCTTAGAAGGTGAGAGTATACTATTTAGCATATGCTTAGAACGTGAGAGTATTACTATCTAGCATATGCTTAGAATGTGAGAGTATTACTATCTAGCATATGCTTAGAATGTGAGAGTATTACTATCTAGCATATGCTTAGAATGTGAGAGTATTACTATCTAGCATATGCTTAGAACGTGAGAGTATTACTATTTAGCATATGCTTAGAATGTGAGAGTATTACTATCTAGCATATGCTTAGAAGGTGAGAGTATTACTATTTAGCATATGCTTAGGTGAGAGTATTACTATTTAGCATATGTTAGAAGGTGAGAGTATTACTATTTAGCATAAGCTTATACTCGGGGTGGAAAATTTTCTAAGAGGCTCCGTTAAGGAAAAAATGACTTTATGAGCTGGATGGAATTTCTGTGTATTTTTTATTCTATTAGGGTGTCCTGCATAAAGGATTTCGCCTGCGAAGCATATAACTCTTGCGAACATATCTAAATACTGGTCCGAAGAAGACATACCTTGAATTTTTTAGAAAAAATTGGCTAAAAATGGAAACTACAAGAAGTCAAAATGTTCAACTCAAACAAAGTTGTAGCTATTCTATATCAACATTTTGTGTTATGTAAGGTTTCTCAGATGTTTCAAGACCTTCATTAGTATACTTTTGTCTAGAAATGTGACATTTAAGGACAAAATTTGGCATTTTTAATCATTTTCGCTTTCAGCATTAACATATAGTTCCTTATATCTCGAGTTTAATGCTGACTGGTTGTTGCATTTTTGTTTAAATCTGTGCTTGTACATATGTTCTTCCATTTAAGGTATAGAAAATGTATAGTGGACAACCAATGTTCATATGAGAGCTTTCAGATCTCCCCTACCCCATTCATTATGGAAAATTACCGAAAAATATGAAAAAATAAAATAACTTGAAATTATAAACTTTAACAAAGTTGTAGCTATTCTATGTCAATATTATGTGTTATTTAATGTTTTTAAGATATTTCAGAACCTATAGCCGTGTACAAGTGGCTAGAAATGAGACATTTCAGGACAAAACTTGGCATTTTTTTTTTATCATTTTTGCTTTCAGCAGTAATATATAGTTCCTCATATCTTGAGTTTTATGCTGTCTGATTGTTGCATTTTCAATCAAATCTGTTCTTGTGCATGTCTTCTTCCATTTAAGGTATAGAAAATGTATAGTAGACAAACAATGTTCGTATTAGAGCTTTCAGATCTCCCCTACCCCATCAATTATGGAAAATAAACGAGAAATATGAAAAAATAAAATAACTTGAAATTATAGACTTTCATAAAGTTGTAGCTATTTTATTATCAATATTATGTGTTATTTAATATTTTTAAGATTTTTCAGAACTTTTATTGGTATTCAAGTGGCTAGAAATGAGACATTTAAGGGCAAAACTTGGCATTTTTTAATCAATGCTGCTTTCAGCAGTAACATATAGATCCTCATATCTTGAGTTTTATGCTGACTGGTTGATACATTTTGGATTAAATCTGTTCTTGTATATGTCTTATTCCATTTAAGGTACTGAAAATGTATAGTGGACAAACAATGTTCATATTAGAGCTTTCAGTTCTCCCCTACCCCATTCATTAGGGAAGATGACTGGAAAATATAAAAAATAACTTCAAACTACCAGTATAAACTTTAACAAAGATGTAACTATTCTTTATGTGTTATTGATTGCTATAATTAATGTTTCAGGACCTTCATTAGTATTCTAGTGTAGAGAAATTAGACATTTAAGAACAAAATTTGGCATTTTTCATCATTTCCACTGTTAGCAATACCATATAGTTCCTTATATCTTGAGTTTTATGCTGATTGGTTGATGGATTCTTGATAAAATCTGTTCTTTTGCCTGCCTATGTATATTGGAAAGCCTGTCATTATATTAGAGCTTACATATCTCCCCTACCCCATTTATTTTGAAAAAATAACCAGAAATATAAAAACCAAACAATTTCAAAGTATAGACTTTAACAAAGTTGTCGATATTCTAGATCAATACTATGTATTATTTGATATTTTTCAGATGTGTCAGGAACTTCATGAGTATACAAGTCTAAAAATTAGACATTTAAAGTTGAGTTGCAAATGGGGCGGGTATTCTCTATCTTTGTCCATTGGACTTTTCTGGTTATGATATGTTGCAAACTGCTCATGAATCTATGCAATGTATAGTACAATACTTGGAATATATTTAAAAATAATGGGGTATAGTACTGTGATAATCATAACCAGTGATCAAGCCATATTGGTTGAATTCCCTCATTATCAATTGCAATGTTGTCAAAGGCTTGGTGATTTCCATATTACACCTAAGGGTGGTGTAATTAGGAAGTTCATGATCATGGATATTGGGCTTGGGGATATTTTGGTAAATGTAAACATTGTGAAATGAAGAACAGCCAACAAGATGATTTTGGAAAGGATTACAAAATGGTAAGCTGTCTTTGGTTTGTGAAGCAATGTTACTGTATCTCTAAAATGGGATGAATTTCACTTATGGCAGGGCTGCTATTGAACTTTGCAAAACTGATAGTTGCAACTTATCTATCAAATACTGATCATGAAGTTGACACTCTCTATATGGCCCATGTCTATTACAGTGCTGCAGACAAGACAAAGGAGTTCAATGTTGAGAGAATTTGTATTCAGTCTGATGATACAGAATGTTGCTTGCAAAGAAGGATGAGAGTTAAAAAGAGCTCTTAAAGTTTCTTATGTCCTTCAAGGTAGCATTCTAAATTACTATATGAATCTCAAAGTGCAATACCTATTTGAAGATATATAAAAGATGGGTGTCTTGTACCAGTACTCACAAACAAACCTTCGTAGCAACACAAGAAACATATGTCCTTGGCAATTCGCAAATGTAAAATGGCAAAAGGCAGCGAAAATTGCTAATACAAAGTTTCTAGTCAAGGGTGTATTGCTACTTGTCCATGTGGCAATAAACAACATAGTGCACATCGTTGGACAATATTTAAGGATGAGTTTCTCAGAACTATAAAAATTATTTAGAGATCTTACATATCTGAATAGCTTGTGGTGTCATGAGCAACTTAGACCTTTAAAATGCTTCCTAGTCAACTGGTACCCAAGACAAGTCGTACCCAAGACAACTGGTACCCAAGACAAGTCATACCCAAAATAACTGGTACCCAAGACAACTCGTACCCAAGTTATTTCCAGTATTATGGGTGCATATTAGGAAAACAAATTGAGTTTGTATAATTATGTTTTCATGTTATAATGTGACTCAAATAAGCCTCAATATTTTTTTGAATTTAGAAGACATTTTTTCTCAATGGATTAAGTAAAGCATTTTGATTTAACTTGAATCACCTTTTTACTAATAAAACAAGTGCTTGAAGTGCTTGTTTACAACATTTTTTGTCAAACATATATATAAATAAATATAATTACAACAGTGACTTTTCTACAAATGGATCAAACAATTAATTTGAGCATTTTGAGAAAGTTTAAAGGAGTTTCATCTGTTAATTTTTTTCCAATTGAAACTAAATTGGATTATGCACATGCATACTAAGTGTAATAATATATCATGTATGAATAAGTACCAAAATAATATTTGATATTAATATTATACTATATTATTACTTGTATACTGACACTTGTTCCAAACACTCATAAACATACAATATTTAAAAAAATGATTATGAATGTGTGGAATAAACATATATCTCTTCACTCGAACATCCAATATAAAATAATAGTCGAAATAAATTGACGCTCAAAGCTCAAAATGTTACAAAATTATATCAATTTCTTCTGAAAATTCTTCAAACTTCTGAACAGTATGTTACAGTTATAATATGTATATCTTTACACATTCCCAGTTCAACACTTGATTCAAAACAAAATATATGCTTGGGTACGACCTGTCTTGGGTACCAGTTGACCAGTTACCTTTAAAATGACTTAAATGCAGCTCTAACATAGAACCAGGGAGATTTGAAAAATCAGGCTGTTGCTGGATTAAGTTCGAGAGTTGTGAACAATCATGTTTATATAAAGACATATCCTTTGATTCATATGAGAGTAAACTGTGAAATTACAAAATTATTTCGCACTATGCTATTTTTGAGTAATCTTTTAAAAATATAGTAGTGTAGTAATTTTATCTCTAATATGTATATTTGTGTTTAAAACACATTTTCCATGCTTTGAAGATAACAAGACTCATAGTTGAATATATATGATCTAAAATATGTCAACTAATCACCATTCAACTAAAAATATAAACAACTATTGCTGAAAGTGAAACATTGGTCATTTTGCCCATTTATGTGTCATTTTTTGATTTTAGTGTGCTAATAAATATGCTAAACTTTTGAAAAGTTTAAGAATATTAACATGCAATAATAACATTTGTGTTGGTTTTCTCATTTAATGGTGGAGGGCAGATCTTAGACCTCTAATAAAAACATTCGTTGTCATACATACATTTTCTTTAAGTTAAATCAGAGAAGACAGATTCAATAAAAAACATATATGAATCTATCATCAAAGAATTATAATTGTGGAAAATTATATGCTACTGCTAAATGCAGATTTTAGACACATGTAATCAAATGAAGGTTACATTAAATAATACATAGTATTGATAGAGAATAGCTACAATTTTGTTAAAGTTGATGATTTGAAATTACTTTTTCATTTACATAAATGGGGCAGGGGAGACATGAAAGCTATAATATCAACATTGGTTGTCCAATATACATTTTCTATATCCTAAATGGAAGAAGACATGTACAAGAACAGATTTGACCAAGAATGCACCAACCAGTCAGCATAAAACTCAAGATATATGGACCTATACTATATACGTTATTGCTGAAAGCGAAAATGAAAAAAGCCAAGTTTTGTCCTTAAATATCTCATTTCTAGGCATTAGAATACTAATGAGGGTCCTGAAACATCAGAAAAAGATTAAATAATACATAGTATTGACATAGAATAGGTACAGCTTTGTAAAAAAATCATAATTTGAAGTTATTTTTCTTTTTATTAATATTTCTGGTCATTTTTCCTAATAAATGGGGTAGGGGAGACCTGAAATCTCTACTATGAACATTGGTCATCCACAATACATTTTTTATATCCTAAATGAAAGAAGACATCTACAAGAACAAATTTGACTAAGAATGCACCAACCAGTCAGCATTTAACTCAAGATATAAGGACCTATATGGTATTGCTGAAAACGAAAATGGTCAAAAAAGCCATGTTTTGTCCTTAAATGTCTCATTTCTAGGCACTAGTTTACCAATAAAGGTTCTGAAATATCTTAAAAACATTAAATAACACATAATATTGATATAGAATAGCTACAACTTTATTAAAGTTTATAGTTTCAAGTTATTTTATATTTTCATATTTTTCTTTAATTTTTCATGATAAATGGGGTAGGGGAGATCTGAAAAATCTAATATGACCATTGATGGTCCACTATATATTTTCTATACCTTAAATGGAAGAAGACATCTACAAAAACAGATTTTATTACAATTGCAACAACCAGTAAGCATAAAACTCAATATATGAGGAACTATATGTTACTGCTGAAAGCTAAAATGATTTTAAAAAATGCCAAGTTTTGTCCTTAAATGTCTCATTTCTAGGCACTAGTATACCAATAAAGGTTCTGAAATATCTGAAAAACATTAAATAATACATAATGGTGATATAGAATAGCTACAACATTGTTAAAGTTTATAAATTCAATTTATTTTATATTTTCATATGTTTCAGTAATTTTTCATAATAAATGGGGTAGGGGAGATCTGAAAGCTCTAATATGACCATTGGTGGTCCAATATACATTTTTTGTATCTTAAATGGAAGAAGACATGTACAAGCACAGATTTAATCAAAATTGCAACAACCAGTCAACATTAAACTCAAGATATAAGGAACTATATGTTACTGCTGAAAGCGAAAATGATCAAAAATGCCAAATTTTGTCCTTAATTATCTTATTTCTAGACACTAGTACACTAATGAAGGTCCTTAAACATCTGAAAAACATTAAATAATACATAGTGTTAATATTAAATAGCTAGAGTTTTGTTTGAGTTGAACATTTTGACTTTTTGTAGTTTCCATTTTTAGCCAATTTTTTTCTAAAAAATTCAAGGTATGTCTTCCTCGGACCAATATTTAGATATGTTCGCAAGAGTTATATGCTTCGCAGGCGAAATCCCTTATGCAGGAAACCCTAATAGAATGAAAAATACAGAGAAACTCCATCCAGCTCACAAAGTCATTTTTTGCACAATTCTCACACCTTCCACCCCGAGTATTAGAAGGTGAGAGTATTACTATTTAGCATATGCTTAGAATGTGAGAGTATTACTATGTATGCTTAGAAGGTGAGAGTATTACTATCTAGCATATTCTTAGAATGTGGGACTATTACTTACTCACTTCGAGAGCCATGTTAGCCTAGATTTTGAAACTTATGGCTCTCAAACGGAGAAGTGAACAGCTCATCAATAGTGACCTTTGAAATCGAATTAAGTCGATCCGCGGCTTACTTTTGGTCTCTAACTGTGTCTTACATCAGTATCATCAATCCGTGTAAGTATTGGAGCGCTGGAGTACTTCTTTTTCGATCAAGACTTGTAAATTGTTCATCGAGTGAACGTTTTTTAGACCTATTTCCAATATGGCGGTTTGCTAGGAGCGAGATACGCAACGAACGAAATGAATTCTGAGAATTAGTTAGGTTCGGACAACCTCCGGAGATTTACGAAAATGTCCGAGCAGAAACCGCCATATTGGAATTTGGCAGTAAAACGATTCACTCGACTAACAATTACAAGTCTTGATCGAAAAAGAAGTACTCCAGCGCTCCGATGCTTACACGGATTGATGATACTGATGTAAGACACAGTTAGAGACCAAAAGTAAGCCGCGGATCGACTTAATTCGATTTCAAAGGTCACGATCATTGAGCTGTCCAAATGCTCCGTGGGAAAGCTATTATATCAAAATCCAATAGCTTTCGCAGGAAGTAAACTATTACTATTTAGCATATGCTTAGAACGTCGGAGTATTACTATTTAGCATATGCTTAGAAGGTGAGAGTATGCTATAATAGCATATGCTTAGAATGTTCTGATATCATGATTTAGCATATGCTTAGAACATGCGAGAGTATTACTATTTATTACTTTGGACATCCAACAGGCCTCCATTTTTCCTTCTGAACTTTATTCTATTGAGATTGAAAGTTTACAGGAATCAAGACAAATATTCAAATCTGATTATTAGCAAAGAGAAATAAAACACATTGCTTTGCGTATGCTATAGATCATCTTTATTTCCATCAATATTCATACAAACCACAGTCAGTGGCCAAACTTAGATAGTTAATAGGCTAGCCATAAGTGGAATCAGTTTCAATACTACCGGATTTTCTTGCATATATGCCCCCCTAAATTTAGGCCCATTGGCCAAAAATCGAATGTAGTACGCTTATACGCCCATGGCCCTATAAAAAATGACTATTTATTGATTTTTTCAATAAATTCAAGAGTATTTTGTCACTGGCAGATCGTTCTGTTGTTACTTTGTTTCAACATTAAGTCCAAGTAGATGACATTTCCTTTATAATTCTTACAAAACATGCGGTAGGACTACAACAGTAGGTATGGTAGTCTCTCTTTTTTTCTCACCTTTAAGCCCACTGGGCCAAAAATTGAAAGCAGTACACTTATACGCCCATGGGCGAAAAATAAGAGGTAAAATAACAGACGAAATTACCCCTTCTTTCAGTTATACGCCCAGGGCTTATATGCGAGAAAATCCGGTACACTGCTATATTTAGTATATTTACACACTTTTTAACAAAAATGCTTCACTTTGAAGATATTGGCTTGAAGTACACGGCAAAGGATTCTAAAATTATACCACAATAAGACTGGAATAACTATTGGGAAATTAAAATTTGCACTTACGATGTTGCTTTTCATGACCACTGACCTACCTGTACACAATACAGGCTCTTGACTTGAATTATATCAACTTCTCTAAAATATCAATTCTCTAAGGTGACCACCTTTGATCACTGCATAAATGTCATATTTTATCCTTCACATTTTTGTATTTTAACATCTCAATTTAACTTCACCATTAGTATTATTAACAACAAATATGAATAATTTTGAGGATAAACTATGAGTAAATATACAGGACTTTTTGGACCGATATTCTGGCTATATAACATCTATGATTTTTTACAATATTTGGAAATATACAATATGTTCACAGTTATGTTATTCTAAATCTTTACACTAAAAGCTATTAATATCTAATAAGAATGCAACACAAAAACTTTATACAAAATAAACATATTCAGTGGCTTAATTGTGACAAGACAAAAGTTCTCAAAGTTTATCGCAAGTCTTCAACTTACGTTTATTTTGACCACACTCCAGCATATGTCCGCTGCTGAGTCGTCAAACTTCTGTTTTTAAGCATTTTCCTTTCTGAGTGAAAAGTTAGTTCTCACTTTAGACACTCATTTCTGATGCATGATTTGTTACGTTTTTTCAATACACATTTTTCTTATATATTTTTCGATTTTTTTGTATTGCTGTTTTTTTTATAGAAAAATCCAGCTTGTGGAAAATATTTCCAATCGCAACTGTTACTTTACATACTGCATTGAATTCTTAGTCTGTATACCATACAAATAATGCACCTTTTGAAAAATACTTTATATATACTTCTATCTGTTTTACGATACATTCACTGAACACTGTCAGACGCACACATGGTGCGAGACGCAAATACACAGCGTGAAAACACTCCTTAATTTATATATTAACCTGTGCTCATCATCTCCTTGTGCTCATCATCTCCTTATTCTCATTCCTTTGGTTTTAAAATTAATACACTTGAATCTAAACTTCATAATCATTGAGTAGAGTATTCAATTTGCAATATATCCACTTTGGTGAGGATAACATATATTTCACACACATTGTTCTATTTATCAATCTGAAAGCCTCCAACTAAGAAGCAATGCTTTCATAAATCAGTCAATTTAGTTTAATTTCAGTGAACTGATTATTTCCATTGTAGTCTTAGACATTGGCAATCTTTGTCTCCAAGGTAGGCGTGGTTTCCATGGTGTTGTGTTTAGGTTGGGCAACTGTACACGATCTTGCTACACTCTCAAACAACCTGAAACAAACAACATAACTATGTATTCACAAACTGAAAAATGAACTATGATATTCACTGTGAAAAACTGTGAATTTTGATAAAATGTACTAGTATGTGATACCAGTTCAAGGGGCAACAAGACTGTATAGAGAAAATTCGAAATTTTTTATTTTTTCTGAGCTATCAGGTCAATATTTGGCTTAACACCTTCTTTGACATACCTATTTTCTTAAGATTTATGGATTAACTATCAATTTAAGCATTAAGAAGTTAAAATTCAGTTCAAAGCTTCTATAAAGGGAGTCCCACTTTTTAAGATCCGCTACATTTCAAGAGGAATATCAGCTGAAATAATGTTCATCCAGGGGGTTTCTTTGTAGATATTGAAAATATATGTTAGTCTTGATGAAATATCCAAACTTAAATATATTTTGACACTGGTCGATGATCGTTGAATGCCCCACCCCCTTACATTAATTGTTGCACCTTTAAAAATTACCTTATTATTTGATAATCTTGAAAATTGACACTTGCAGTTTATTGAATTAAACATAAACTTATTTGTGTACATACAGTAATATGTGTGATATAAACTTACTTATATACATAATGTGTGTAACATAAACTTACTTATATACATAATGTGTGTAACATAAACTTACTTGTGTATTTCTGGTGCACAGTGTACAAACTCATGATTCCAGAAGTTGAAACTTGGATTCTTAATCAGCTCAATGAATGTGATCAACAGGCCCCATGGGTGAGGACGATTCACTATGAGTCTCTCTAGAAGTACCCTGGTGATCTGTTCCTGTATGGCCTCAGTGTTAGCCTCAGCAAATAGGTAGAGTAGGGTACAGCTGAAGTAGTGGGTGTGACTGTTGGGGTACCTCAACTGGTTAGCAATGGCATTCAGGAACAGATAACGCCCTATAACATAGGAATTCCAAATAAATCATTTACAATTTTTTTGGCATTTTAGCAGTACCCAAGTAGGATTATCCATAGTAGCTATTCGCCATAAAATCACTAATCAATTAGAATTCAGGATTTCAATGAGGCGTGAAATAAAAATTTTCATATGGAAATCTTTGTTTCTGAATTCTAGAACAGATAGCTTGCCAATCGCCAAATGGCATTTAGAGGCCAAGCTTTAAGATAATAATATAAAACATGAGGTGTGTAATAATAAAGAGATATCATACCTTCTGTATCAAGATCCACAGCTAGGTTCTGGAATATGTCCATGTGTGAGGAGTGTGCAATTGTGCTCATGCTAGGTGTCTGTCCCTTACTATGTATGTAAGTGATAGCCTGTGTGCCCACATACAACACCAAAGCATTGATCAGAGGTATACTGTAGCGGGTACCAGGCTCATTCGACACTTGCAGGTTGCTGCGGAGATCTGATAAAAATGTCACCGGTGCTCGAGATTTCAGATATGAATCCAAATCCTGAAAATTAGAATTTAGAAGTTAAAACACAAATGAATTCACATTTGTCTGGATAATAATTCCAAATCAGCAAATCGCCTTTCGCAATTTTCCCAATTGCATTTTTATTCTGAAAACATTGACAAAGATCCTTTTCTGGCTATTTTTTAATTCAGTTTTATATGGGCACCTACGAGTAACAGTAACATGTACAAATGTAACTCAGTTCTATTTTCTTGTAGGTGCCTTATACAAGTTTATTAATTGTTTATGTACCTTTTTAAAGCTAGCTGGCTGTATCATGTTGGTAAAGTTTGTAACAATCCTTGGTGGATGTGTGATGTCAGACAACATATCAACTTTCAGATTTGGCGTAAAGGGATCCGGGAGGCGCATGTTGCGAGGGAATGCACTAAGAATGAGGTTGCGCATCTGAATACAGTTAGGTGGTATGACATCACAGAACAGGTAGTGGTAATCACAGAGGAATTCTGGGAAGTCATGTAACAGCACCAGGAGAACTCGCAGTGTGCCCTAAAACAAAGTGAAAAAATTTATTCATCTTTCTCAAGTGTGTCTCAAACATCGAGAGAAAATTTTAATCCATGAAAACCATTTCTTTTTCTCTTTCATCAGAAATAATAATGAACAAAAAATCAATAGAGCAGTTATAATTTCTCATCATCTGTTGCAATGCTGAATATTTTGTAAATTGCTTAAAATTGATGAAACCTATGAGACCAATAGAATCATACCTTGTAGAGTAACTGAGCAGCCTTTGTGAGGTCAGCATTTCTGAGGAACGGAGATAGGAACTTGATGAGGTCAATCAATAGCTGAGCATACATCCCCCAGCCCTAGAAACATAGAAAAATCATAAAATGAAGGTGAATTTACAAATTATCATCTAAAAATGTCACTCCATGGCCTTTATTTCCACCAAAAAGGTCCCTTCATAAAACCTTTATTTACACTAAAAAGATCCCTTCATAGCCTTTATTTACATAGAAAAGGTCCCTTTCTAGTCTTTAATTACACTGAATAGGCCCTTCAATAGCCTTTATTTTCACCAAAAAGGTCCCTCTCGGCCTTTATACCAAAAAGGTCTCTCCATGTCCTTTATTTACAGTGAAAGGATCCATTTACAATAATCATTCCTACATGTGTAAGCTCCTTTTATAATAATTATTTTAACCTGGTCATTGATTGGACTGTATACAGTGTTGTTATACCAGTGTGTGACTGCATGATGTAAATAAATTGTAAGGAATATCACCTACCCTTTGTTGTGGAGTGATTGCAAGCATGCGTCCTATGAACACCCTGTGTGAGATGAGCTCAAGCCAAGCATAGGCGAACCCTGGTGCCTTCCTCGGTCTAAGGATATGGAAAGTATTACTGAAAAATAGATAAAGATCGATTTTTTAGGCAGCTAGCTTTTTCTATTGATAATAAATGTAAGTAACCTATGTAAGTAATCTATGGAAATCACATCGACAAAGGTCATTACTGCTAACAAACAGACAGACAGTGACTGCATACTGAAACAAGGCATTGACATGTAAAATACCACCACCTGCCATTTGTTACAGATGCTGAACATCAGCCACCAACTGCCGAACACTGTCCACAAAAAAGTCGAAGACTATAACAATATGTCACCACTTATGGTGGGGTACATAAAAACATCAGATAAGAACCCAAACCTAAAATATATTTAAATTCAGTCATCCTTCTTATATATACAAACAAATGCCTGGATATTATTACTTTTTGTGGCAACACTCACCAGAAAGCTGTTAGGATCTGGAAGTTGATACCATCGAGGACCTGCTCTGGTGCATTCAGCTCAATAAAGAGCATGATGAATATTCTGTGGTAAGGTAGTTGTTGGAACTCTGTATTCCTCACCTCATGATCTTGAAGTAATACACCCGCCACTATACCTAGCACCTGTAACATAAATAGAACGATGTACTCTTTTCTTTCAAACTTTGTGAAGACATATACAATGGTATTATTTCTTGAGAACAAGATATAGTCAATGACAATATATCATCTTTGATGCTACCCATTACCAAATACCTAATTCAAAGTTTGGATATAAACTACATAAGTAACACAACTTCATATTTCTGGATGGATAATGTTTCAAAAACATACATTATGGAGTCATCTTTGAAAACTGTAATCCATGCATTACTGCAAGCATCCATCTCATACATACAACTTTGGGTCAACAGAATTATCATATGAAAGCCAAAATTATGAAAAACTATGACATTTACAAAAATAATTTCAGAAATAGACCAAACATTCATAAATACCTTATTGAGTAGGTTGATCTTGGTGACACTATTAGTGGAGTCCCCGGAGTGTTTCACCAGGAGAGATATCAGCCTCACAAAGGCATCTAAAGTGTGGAAGCATTTGGCTCTGATCAATGTAGGGCTATGAGTCTGTTCATTTAGTGCTCTATAGCACAAGTCGACGCACATCTCAGTGGAGAGGCGGAAAAATCTTGTGATCAAGTCATCTGTTTTCAGAATTCCTTGTTGGTGCATCTGCAATGAGATTTCCTTATTTAACAATTATTTCAACATGTTTACAAAAACAAACATACAAATACAGAAGATTACATGAGGGTAAGATGTATTTTCAATATGAGGTCCTAGATGGTCTTGTTTAGTCAACAAGTGTGTGAGATTCATGTTATACTTTCTTGTCACGAAAATTGATGAGCAACAGTTTCAATGGCCATTGTCAAATTTTGAGTGAATAAAAAAATTGTCAACAAAAGAATATTTTCATAATATGGGCCAAAAGAAGTTGTTCTTAAATGTGAGATCTATTAACCACTAAACTTATACATGAATCAGCTCATTACAATATAACCATGCACTGCTCTGCCAAACCTTTGCCACATCAATATTGTAAAATTTTGGCATTCCTTACCTGTCCCACAAACATGGAGAATGCCTTGGTGCTGTCTCTTCCTGCGGCTGGAGAGTGGTACATGTTCACCCACTCTCTGAGTAAGAATTCTGTCTTTTCATGGAGACCTGGGGGGTCATCAAATTCCCGCGCCTGGGAGATACCTGATTGCATCATTGACGTTGGGCCACTGGGGGCACGGTCCAGGAGACCACCATCATTCTGTTGTCTGATGTTCTCGATGAGGTTGGCCAGACCTTCAGGGGCCTGACGACTGTGAGTTGCGATTCTGGATAAAGCCTCGATTGTATTGTAAAAGTCAGCCTGGAAAAAGCAAATAATAAGAAATAAGTTGCATAATCATTTAAGGATGAAGGTATTCACAGAATACCCCAAATCTCTGGTTGAAACCTGAAAACTGTGACATAGTGTCAAATTTTAAACTAAGTGAAATTAGCAAATAATCAGCCAGCAATATGACAAAACTCTTCCTAATCCTAATGAAAGGAATAATGTAGTTCATTTAATGTTACATGGAAAATGTAAAATGTGCAATTGATCAGATGAGAATAGACTTACATTTAATATGTTTACCTATTTTAACTTTTTTTCATTTTTCTTTTCTATTTTTGTTATTTATTTCATTAAAACAAAATAACATTTGTCCAAATTTGTGGCTATGACACCTATATGGGTATATATTTGACCACATTTAAAAATGTAAATCAAAAGTGCTTGAAAGTTTAACACAATATGACATTGGATGAACCATAATTTGTCTCATGAGTTTTACCTCATTAATCTGGCTATTATGCTTCTCATCAATACAATATCTCTGGACTAGAGACATGGCAAAGGCAACAGCCATGTAGTTCAAGCCATTCTCCATTGATTGGGCCAGGTGGAGGTCATAGGTCGACACAGTGATCAGGTGTGAGCGAATCAACACATCTACTGCATCTACGTTGTAGCGGAAATCTTCTCTACATTCTATGAGCCGCCTGGAGGACAAACAGTTTGGTTTAATGTATTGAACACAAGAATTATTATTTCATTGGATTGGACATGTCTTTCTCTGATAATATAAAAATTACTTTTGAGGTTTCTCATTCTAATTTGGTATTTTACATGTATATTATAAAAAAATTTAAACATACTTTTCAAATATAATTTTCATGTTCCTAGGAGCAGAATATTACCCATAAGTTAAACATCTTTCTAAGATTTACCTGGTGACGTGTTTATTGGTCCACTGTGGTCCATAGGCACGTTGATCCTGTAGTCCCTTTAGCACCAATAGATGACAATCACGATATCTGATCAAGAACTCGGGATCTGCTGCCAACTGGTTGCTTGTGTTTAAACCATCTAAGAGGCCTTCAACAGCCTTCTGGAGCAACGCAACAGCCGTTACGATTTCACGGGAGTTCCTTGCAAGGAGAACTGACTCCCTGAGGCTGTGTAGGACAGCAACCTGAGGACTGGTAGGGTTGGCCATAACTGCACGTAGGTGGACCTCCATCTCTAGGATGATTTTGTCATAGATTTGAGTGATCTCATCTGTTGTAAATGATGGCTACAAGACATATAATATAGATAAGCATGAATGATGGGCTTCAACTTATCAATGTATGCAGTACCTTTTTGTTAAAGAATGTACAAATGGGGTGTTTTTATCCCATCATCATTGCCTGGTTGCCAAGATTAACTGAAACCGGCAAAAAGTGTTTTGATTGGCAGTTGTTCACATATCGAGTTTCTTTAAACATGGATGTCAGATTTAAAAATTACTACCATAAAAAAATGCTCATATTGAGAGCATGAGGTGTGCAGATTAGAGAGATGTTCAGATACAGACTTTACTATACTATGTATTTTTACCTGTCCTTTGCCACCTTGGAAGAGTTGAGACTGGTTGCCAAGGTTACTGGGCTCTGTAGCAGTGAGGAATCCTGGGATATTTCGTGCAAACTCTTCATAGACAATGATTTGCTGAGATGTCACTCCACCAACCTGGTAACAAAAGTTAATAAAAACGTTAAATCATTGCAAAAAACATTTCTTCAACCCCCACCATGTAACATATACAAATATTATATTGAATAGGAATTTTTCACAAAACACAATAGAAATCTCTTAAAATCATATAGTCAAACACAAATCATATATAAATATAGTGACTGGGATTTGTTGAGTCCATTCACCTTGAGTCTGATTTGTTCAGGCATACGTTCAGCCTGGTATGTCAGCACCACAGGATCACAGTACCTCCTGCCCTCATTACGTGCATGTTTACGTAGGTCATACTCAGTAGCTAGGCGTTTGTCCATCTCAGCTATTGCTTTCTCCACAGCAGTCTTCTGTATGAAGACGCAGCACAACTCTGTGTTGTCTTGGGCCAGGACCTGTGCAGCTTGTTCTATAAGCTCTTTCTGGGGCTGGGTAGCACCCTGCTTGAATAGGAACAAGCAATGAATAATTATTACTTTGAAAAAGGGTAAATGATGAGCTAAAATAAAATAATTCTTTAAATAATTTTACTCTTGAGAGAGCAAAAATTTGGTTTAAGGGATGGGGAAAAAGTTCCTCAGAATTGAGAGAAAACTCCCAATAGCATAAAATTAGGAACTGGGATGAGGGGGGGAAGTATTACATAAGACACTTACCCTGAGAGTTGTGTGGAAAGCCTTCTGTAGGTTGGTAGCAATGCTGAGTTGTAGGGGCTCCCTGCATGTTATAAGAGCCATTCCAGCTGTCATGTTGCGTACCATGTGATGTGCTGCTGCACTCATGCGTGCCTCATCTGGGTCTAGAGCAAAATCCTAAGAGAAAACAAGTGAAATGCCATTTGATAAAATTCAAATTTTAAAGACAAACCTTTTCAACTACTAAAGAGAAATCAGTGGATTTAGTAAAAAATATATGTCAAGAGTAACAAGGAATTTCATTGTTCATCAAACACCAAGTATAGGCTTCATTTTCTTTACCTTTTTCACAATCTGTTCGCAAGTGGTAAGAGCAATCTTAATTGATCTGTCTACAACAGGTGGTAACAGTTCCTTGACTGCTCTCTCTACAGCTGGACGCACCACTTGCTTCAACTGGGGGTGTGCTTGGAACAGCCCAATCTGAAATATGAGAGGAAATATTACTGGGGGTGTCCTTGGAACAGCCATACAAAATATGCAAGGAAATAATACGACACTATCTAATATGACAAATAAAAAATCATACAAGAGAGCTTGTTTATTTACTGAGAAGCATTAACACAAGACAAGGTACTCACAGAATCGCTCATGTTGATATGTTGCGCTAGTCCACCTAGTGAAGATACATTGATGTCCCCATACACATACTGTGGCTGAGGAGGTGTGCTGATTGCCGCTGTAGTTGTAGCAGATGGTGTCACAGAGGTAGCCGTGGTTGATGACAGCGTCCCAACTGTTGCTATAGTAACTGATGGATTCTCCTCTACAGTTGGCTGTGGGGTGATGGATGTATCTTTGGTAGGAGCTGAAAGTTGAGGCTCAAGTCTCTCCAAGCGTACTTTGTCGTGGAAGTAGTCTCCGGGTGAAAGTTCATTAATGTCAACCTGTAGAGCTTTACACAGTACCTCAATCTCAAACTTCAAGTTCAGTTTCAAGTCTGGCTCACAATGTAGCTCTGCGAGGACGTTCATGATGCCCATTGTCCAAGGGTTTGGTGGTCGAAACACCTATGAAGAAACAAGCAAAACTATCATATCAGATTCTTTTGAAATTTAGATGATCCATATTTCATCTTAATACTAGATATTACACTGTAGTACTCTACTGTATATCAGTCTATAATAGGGAGCTTTGTTTTGTCGGACCAACATTTTTCTCATACAAACACTAATTCAACAGATATTTACCTTGCTTTTTGAACATGACTCCAACACCTTGGCTACAAAAGGGACTACATAGAGCAGTTCTTGTTGGCCTTTCTGGTAAGCTTCAAATATGAGAGATTTAAGATCTATGTCCTAAAAACAAAGAGCAAATAATATGTAGTCAAATCAGAGGTGTTAATTGTAAACAAGAATTAAGAAAATATCATTAAAAAAAACGGAAAACCATCAAATCAATGTTGATTTAGTTCAAAAATAGATTTCAGTTCTCTTACTAGGTTTGTGGTGAATATTTTTAAATCAAGTCATTCTTCTTATTATTACAATTATACAGTGAATATACAGGGTTGAGATATATGGGAATGGTCATTCCTCAAACCCCCAAGGTTATCTGGAAATAAATAGCTAAACAGTACTTACAATGTGTAGTATAGGTTTGTTCTTGCTTAGGGTCAGCATACCTAGCCAGTGGCCCAAGTTCTTCAGGAGTGACCTATCTGAGAAGTTAGCCAGGCCTTTGTCACTACGTAACAGCACCTTCAAGCATAAACACCAATACAGTGTATGTGTTATTCTACATTGATAAGCATTTGAAGTATATTCTGAATTCCATATACTAGATAGATCTACAACTGCTTTTTCATATGTCCTTTTGAAATGTACCTCTACTATTTAGATCACATTTGATGGTAGAACTTCATTAGCAGACATAGTAAGGCTGACTTGGGTGATATAATAGAATGTTACCCATAAAGATGTTCATACCTTGATGTTCCTTATAGTCTCGTCATTGACCATCTGAATAAAGTTCTTAAAGGGCAAGTTATCGATGAAGCCTGCATAGAGTGTGTGGAAATTTGGCTCTATACTGGCACGTTTCATGACCAGGTACTGAGAGACCCAGGGTATGTACTCCTCTCCTACCTGCTCAACCATTTCCTCAGCCTGTAAATAGAGAATGAAATACTTTTGTTAACACATACTTTGTTTTGTAGCTACACACAATCATTGGCTGAGAGAATGGATAACTAGACAATCTCTAAAATGTAAAATGAACTTTGTTTTTTAGATGTGATGGCCAAAGCTTTCGTTCATTTCTAATTCATCGCAGGAACTGTACTAACACTCACCTTCTGTGTCATGTTTAGCTGTGACAAGTTGTTGAAAATAAAGAAGACCCGATCTTGGATAGATTCTGGTGGAACAGCCACTTCCTCTTTGCCATCTGTCCCTGCGAGAAGAGTATCAATATTTGTTGCCCCTGCGATTGAAGGCTTACCAGATGGCATAGAGGTCATTGTTGATTTTGGTGTTGGCGTGCTACTAGTGGTTGCAGTTGCCGTGGTAACGGTTGATGTAGCAGTTGTAGTAGCACTCGTCATTATACTCGTAGTTGTGATTGTCGGAGTTCCAGCTGTCGATGGTGTCAAACTTCCAGATGATACAGAGCCCTGTGGTTTAAACGGGGGCTCCTGTGACCTGGCCCCATACTCTATGTATTCTATAAGGTGTGCTGGGAACTGGTTAAAGTGTGGAATAGCTGCTAGGTGTTGGCAATATTGGGGGTAATCCTTCAGTCTGGTTTGAAACTTGTCCAATGCAGCTATACCAAAGTAATATATTTTAGCCCCGAATGGCTTCCTCAAGGCCTCTAGTACATATCTTAGGGCGATTCCTAGTGCCATGTACCTGAAATAGGAACAAACACACCTAAATACATTTGAATTAAATTAAACATTAAACACAACTGAATCAATGTGTTAAGAAATGACAACCTTTTTACATACAGCACAACATAAGCTCAAACCTGACCCAGTTTACTTATTTACATAATAGTTCAAGCATGTGCTCATTTTTGAAATATTGATAAAGTATAGAAGTGCATAGTCTGTGGGTTGAATGCACTTACGTGACGAGGCCTTGTTCTATGATGCCACCAAACAACATAGCTGTAGTATGTAGCTCTTTGTCTGGGTACTGCGGGAAAAACTTGTATTCCTCAAACAAGTTACGCAGCATGCAGTTGAAAACATCCTAAAAACAAGACAGTTTGTTGAGTTTAGACAAACCGTACTTTTCATTTGTCTGGAAATTGTTGATAGACAGATGGATGAGAGGATGTTTCCATTGGCTAATGTGAGCTAAAAATTGCAGTCTTGAAATCTACTAGCAATGCCTAAAAGCTAGGCAACTCTATAGAAACCTTCTCGAAATTTTAAATCAATACAGTATATCAAGCGGTTTTCTGAAAATTCAGACTAAAATGTGATACATTACCCATCTACCATGCTGACCACAATGATGTACCTTTTTTAATAGTATAATTAAAGACAAATATTTATCATATAAATAAAGACTTACGATTTCTTTTTTGTTAGTTGAGTTTTTGAAATTCTTGAGCATTTCAAGGACTTCATCAATGGAGATAGTTGGGTGAGGAGGGTGGTTGTAAATGCGCTGAAAGTAAGAGTTGGCCTCATCCTCAACCTCCTTGGAGAAAGACTGACTTTGTTGGTTGAACAGGTTGGCAATGTCGCCTCCTGTGGCTGCTCCTGCTGCTGTTGATGCTTGCCGCAGCCGCTCTGCTGTCTGTTGCTGCTTCAATGCAGCCTACAAGGCAACATTAATTTCTTAATTCCAAGTTCTTATCTATTCAGGTTACACTGAGTGCAGAGTTTAGTTCGAAACTAACCTCTTAGTGTTCTCCACAAGATTTTTTCTCAATTGGGTGCAAAATTCTTGTTTTCACAATTCAGACCAAAATTGGTCAAAATATGTCCATTTTTCATGATTCAAGTGGGTGCTAATTGATTTTCAAGTGAGTGCAAGCCTGTTTTTAGAGTATCAGTGGGCTGGGCCCACTTGCTTTAAAGGGTTCCGATTAGCATCCCGTATAAAAACAATATGGCGGCTCCAGGCGAATCAACTGGATCAGTCCATTTTTAAGAAATAAGGGGAGTTCTGTAAAATCCAGTTTATTGAAATTGTCTTTGAGATAAAGTAATCCGTTTATAATGATTTTGAGAACGTTATCCAAAGAGTGATTGCGTTCAAAGAATACATGTACAACAGCCAATATAAATCCTTGTATTAGAAATCAGTTTGTCTTGCTTTGTTTCATTTGTAGGATATTTCATATGCCAAGCTGTGTGCTATTACGTTATGGGGAAATTTAGATGCCAATTTTTCCTTATTGTACACAAATAGAAGATCCTGAAACTTCACCCATAAATGTGGAATTGATTTGTCAAAATAAAAATCACCCTTTTATAAATGTGTGACGATCTATAATATACTTATGCTATATAACAGTTAGAGGTGTTGACACAACGACCTCAAACCTGTGAACCCTTGAGTATTATTCCGGGATCGGGCCTTTTATACTAAACGGTGAGCAACACCAGAAACGAGCGTTCGATTTGCTAAACGATATGCGTCACCCTTTAAGGCTGGGGAGATCACAGCCTCTGGATATGTTAAATAATTTCAAGTCTTAATTGATCTTGAGATTACTAATGTATATGAACTACTAACCTGTGCACTCATGGAGCCAAGAGATGGTGTGGCTAGAGATGGTGTTGGTCTGTTACCCAAACCTGTGGACAGACCCCCTCCAATGTTTAAACCTAAAATACAATTAGCACTATTAACTATTAAATAAACAATGAAATGTTAATATTACAAATATGAATCAACAAGACATTAAAGTGAACCAAAACATGCATTCATATTTCTAAAATTCAACCTGGTGTATTTTGCATTTTCCTCTTCGCGCTCTAAATGAAACTGCATTCAATATTGTTGCGGGTTGCCACAAAATTGTTCAGTTAAAAATCAAAATTCCCTTATTTTTCCGCGATTCATGCATGAAATTCAGAGACCAAAGCATTTTTCTATTCACAAATTATCCAAGTTAAAGGGACTTATGCTTAATGGGTTGATGTTCTATATTGGTTTCATATAATTTATTAAAAAATATATGTGCTTTGTTGTCACTGACCTTGTATCTGTGATGTTATGGACTGCATTGTGTTAAACCCACCAGCACTGGGCAATGACCCTGCACCCGCACCCACTGAGTGAGGTATTTGTGGGGGTTGACTGCTGGTAGGGAGGGGCGGGAAAACTTTGGCAGGGGAGCCTTGGCTGGTTGTCAATCCTGGAAGGCTGACAGGGAAACCAGGGGTTGCAGAGATGGATGTTCCACCAAAACCTGCTAGGGCATTGATGCCACTTAGTTGTTCCATCTAGAATAAATAAAACCAATTAAAAGAATGCTGAAAGGTGAGGGCAACATATTAAATGTATGAAAATATCAACAATCAATCCCTATTACACACTGTACTACCCTATTACACAATGACACACTTATTAGACACCAATTATGAAAGGTGGGGGCAACATATTAAATGTATGAAAATATCAACAATCAATCCCTATTACACACTGTACTACCCTATTACACAATGACACACTTGCTCTTATTAGACATCATACTTAAATGGAACAGAACAATGCTACAAGAATAAGAGAGAAAAGCTAAAATGACTTACAGGGTTTGTGATTGGTCCACTGATGGCGGGTGAAGGGCCAGGTGGCGCTATAGGCTTAGCACCCACAACTCCTGGTGCAGCCTGACGTGGCTGGCGCATTATCACATTAGCATTAGCTACCATTGTCAATATAGACTCTGCTAGTTCTTGTGTTACATTCCTAGAGAAAAAAATATGACAGATAATGACACAGTGCAAACTTTTCATTTAAAGTAGATATTCTGATGGGCAACGTAAAAGAGTAGTTTAGATTACCTTTGATCAATTAAATGGAATAACAACAATAATTTTCTTGATACATGATCCTCAAAGTGAGGTTGGCCTAGTTGGGAAATTATAGCCACTTTGACCATATTAATTTCAGGTCTATAGATTAGGCAAATCACTTGTCCTATTCAGCATATATCAGATTTTAACACTACTTACTGAGCACAAGCCTGTAAACATGCCAGCATGATGGCTAGAGTATCTGGGGGCAGTTGCTGACTTTTGTTTTGACTAGGGTCATCCTTTATGGCTCCTACCAACTGTGGACATCTTCGCTTCAGGAAGTTCACTGATGCCTGGATGAATGGCTCCTATAACAGAGGTTTTATGCAAATTACAGAGAAGAAAAAGATCATATAAGTTGAGTTAAAATGGTTTAAGTTATAATGAAAGATAATGGAGAAAACCATTTATAACTTGCCAAACAGCAATACAGCAAATATAAGAAGGCATTAAGAAGAAGAAAAATGTCTCCACATACTGCTTGTTACAGACAGTGACCATTGAACACAAACCACTGTCAACCACTTTTTGAGGTGACATAACCAGTCCAGAAAACAGATAATGTCTAAGTTCTCAACTTACACCATGTTCTCTTATTTTATCAGAGAGCCATTTGTCCAGTTTCAGGTATTCCCTCCTTGAAGCCAGACAAGCCAGATCTATCACAAAGGCAAATGGTGTGGCATTCAATAACATAGAAAGAGCCTTTAAGTCTTGAGCCACGTCTAATATCCGTGAAAGTCTTGATTGATCATGGTGGTCCCCGCGCATGTACCACTCAGCCATGCTGTGCATTATCAGTGTGCGTATGGTCGTGGATTGACCCTGACAGTGCCAGGCATAGTGTAACACTATCGCAGAGTTGGGGTGGTTACCCAGAAATATTGGCATCAAATTGGAGATCAATTCATGCTTCAATGTGTTCCATGATGGCTGAAATACAGAAATATAGAATTGAGGAAACTAGTTTGGAAATAAAATCACATATGTCGTCAATTTTCTCTCAAATGTAAGAGAAATTTTAAAAAAACAAAATAAATTAGTTTTACTAGCTTTCTGTATTTTTTAATTTTCTATTTTTCTATTTATTTCATATCTTAAGTTTGTAGTTAGCAATACCATTATACTACATATACTAATAATACTACATAACCTTATACCGCCAAGGTTTGAACAACATATTTTTAAATAGATGTGTTAAAGCTTGACTGTAGGACTGAACTTACTGTTATCTGTAAGAGAGCTAGGACCAACATGTCTGGACAATGCTGTATAGGGAACTTGAATAGTTCGGAGACAGTTTGATAGTGGCCTGCTTCACACAGGCGTAGTAAGGTCTCTACCAGATCGAGGGACTTCCTGAAATATCAATACAAATAAGATACAAACACCTTCGGGGCAAAATTGTATAATAGAAAGTATTAATATAAAAGATTGAACCATGGCCCAATAAAATACATCAATTGAGAATTATTTTAATATTTCACAGAAGTCAACTTACCATGTGGCTATTTCCCTGTTCTCATCATCAGGCGGAGTTTTCAGTATGTCTATTACGACTGTGTGACACGGGTAGTCGGCAAAACAGAACACATCATGGTGCCGCAGTGAATGATTGATCCAAGAGAGCTGCAATGGAATATGTTGATTTTAGAGCATATAACTACACTCCAAAGCAAAGGGCCTGATGTTTTCTGTTATAAGGTGCCTAGTAAATGTGATCACAGTTTTAATTACAAATTTAACTAGCTACTTTTGTTGTTGGGCTAATATATAATGAGCATTCTCCATTTTACCTGGCCTTCTGTATTTTTCCAAGGTCTGTACAATAATTCTATGGGGAAGACATCTTGTAATCCACGGAACAAAGCCTGGACGAGCAGACGTAACCCCGACTTCCCAAGAACAATGAATCCTGGGTGATCCAGTTCACTCACAACATCACGCCAGTTCAAATGAGGAGCCTGAATCACAATATTCCAAATTAATAATTGGGCTTTTATTCATTGTGATGGCTTAGTAGGTATATATGTTAGTACTTCCGTTTACAATCATAGTAATCAAGTCAATCAAATAATCATAATTTTCCAGTAAAATATCAGTTTGACAGACACATCAGTTTCATTGATATGATTAAAAACAAGGTTTCGCAGAATATGTTTAAAAGGTCAATATAGTTTTCAACATACCAGATCCAGGACAACTTGCACAAAGATGTCAACGTTCCATGTGCTGATTCCACTAGATTCTGACTTGTCTTTATCATTCCACTGGGAGTTCATAGACTGAAATAAAGGACAATATAAAATACATTTGACAATTAAATGCTTTGATCCTAAAATATAAACACCAAACTGAATTTTGAAAATTTGTGATATTATAGAGAGAGAGTCCTTTGAACAAACAAGGTACTTAATACAAGACATAAGGACATAAATAACGCAAAAAACTATGGATGGGAATTTACTCTTGTAAAAATGTTCATATTTCCAGGTGACTACCAGTACCAAGTGTACCAGGTGATCTTTTGTCACAAAACAGCATCGAAGAGTTTATCTAGATATTCAAACCACAGCATTTGATTCAAAAATACCATCTGTATAAATATATTTATTTACCTCCTTAAAACACCAATATGTAGACCCTTATAATTGGGGGGTAAAAATTCATATATTTTGAACTAAATTTTCTACCTGTATTGGTATTTGGTCAGTTAGGCCAGTAGGCGTTCGGGCCATCATTCCTAGAACTCTAGCTATAGAGGGGGCTGTGATCTCTCGAGCTCCAAACTGCACCAGGGTCTGACGACATTCATCAATGCTAGAGAAGAAATAATGATAGAATTAAAAATACTGAAATACTTTTCTCAGGTGGGGGGGTTGGGCAAATATATGTATTTTTCATATTGCAACATATTTTCATAATGTTCTGAGTTATTTCCACATTTTTCCTACAATTGATACCAGATTTTACCATTAACATTTTGGTTGCATTGATGGATGTTGTAGAGATCAAGAGGCAAACATATCCTTTTTTCAGAAAGAGGCTTCTTAGAATATCATAAAAATTACTTTGCTGTGCAACTGTAGCCAGATTCCAATAGCATGTCTGCTAAAGAGCCTTCCATCATGGTTTTTGACATGTTTATACCCTCAGAGGATATGCTCTTTTCCAGTACAAGATCTTGCGCTTCAGGAAATAATAGAGGGGCAAGGATCACTGGTACCCTTACACGGGGAAAATCTGAAAAAATAATTTTGATGAATTAATGTTTAAAGTAACAGCATTGTATGATCATGAGCAACAAAACTGACACACTCGAGCACATGTCTCTTCTAAATATATATTGTGTGATGAAAAATTAACCATACAAAAGAAATGCTAAATTGAAGATATGCTCTTAAATTGATTTATTTAAATTCCAGCGTGGTTTCTTAGATTTCCAGCAAATAGAGACAACAGGAAAAGAAAGATATGGAACTATTATGCTGATTATCTTCAGATATACTTTTCTGATTTGAAACAAGGACATGTTATGAAAGAGTCTACTCTCAAAAGATACTGGTTACCTTTTCTGAGTGCTTCTAAAAATGCTTCCTTCTGCTCGGGCGTGATACCAGACTGATCTTTCTGTGTTAACAAGAGATGTAGCAGTTCGATGGGAGCGTCGTGCAGGCCACCTTCAGCAACGGAATCTATGGGTAGAAAATGCAAATAAATTCAACCACATTGCCTTTCCTATTTCTATTTTACATATTTATCGTATTTCAAATATGTAGTGGGAGTGTTCATTTTATAAAATATTACTTTCATTTTCATTCTGAAAGTGTACATGCATTTAATGTTAAATATTTCAGTATTAATGAATATAAAAAATACCTGGCTTACCTCTATCGATATAAGACCTGACAAGATCTGGCAAATTTTGCTTCAAGAACTGCTGTGCACAGTTGGTGGTTTCTGGGTTTGATGAATGTAGAAGTGCTAGACTGAATGCAATCTCCTGAACATGGGACAGCTTCAGAACTCTACTGATTTGTGATATCAATTGTGTGGAGGGCCGGATACTCTATAGTTGAAATGAATCATTTCAATATGTCATTCATAAAATGACTATAGAAGACAAGGCATTAACATGCAAAAGTCACCAACTGCCATTTGTTACATTTATTACAGACAAAAAAAAGTTGGAGACTATAAAAATCTCATCAATTCTGGTGATGACGTAACAACAAAAAGTTTAACTTTGTAAAATCTGCCTTCTTTCTCTAATTTTGAGCATTGATTTCTGTACATCTATAACTCTATCTATTCCATCATTTTCTAGCATCTTTCCCTTCACAGAGATCAACAATATTATTAGTTCAACAAGTTAAGCCCAATACCACGGCTTTCATTTATTAATCTGAGTGTTCTTGTTGCGGTGGTTGGGTTAAACTTCTGTGCTATGGTTGCAAATTCTTACGATCAGTTAATTATAAAACGCGCATAGATTTCCATGCGCTGCTATAGGCCACCATTAGAATATTTTGCATCAAGGGCCGAATAGGCACGGATGTTAAACCTAGGGTGGGCCACATGATATGTCATCAGATAAGAAATAAGGCCCAGACTAGGTTTAACTTGTTGAACTACAATATTATGAAACTTACCTTCTGTTGGTGCAGAGGGTTGTCAACTGCGTAACACAGAATAGACACAAAGTTAGGCTTGGTAATTAACAGGGATGACTCTTGGATTAAATACTGGATCTGGTGGTAATCCTTCCCTGTTGTTTTACCATCACCTGAGAAGTCAACGTTAGAAAACAGACACCGTAACAAGTGCCGCTCTGCCTCCGCACCGTGATTCGTTACAAGCTAAAATGAACAGGAAGATAATCATGGAACCCATTTTGGTCGATCAAATAGTTGTTAGCGTTGAAATACAGACGATGCAAATGGTAATCCATATGCATTTATATTATTCAACATAATGACAAATAATAATCATAAATGAATCACAGATAAAAATCTGGTGATGAAATGAAGAAACAAAGAATAAGTGCATGAAGTGTGGAAATCGATTTTATGGGTTAGATACGAATAATCCAAATAATATTTACTGAATCTAAATCATGCAGGAGGTACTACTTACATTTGATATATCTGATATACTTGATTTGTAGTTTTTCTTCGTCAAATTAGCCACTGAATAAGTTATTTGAGACAACGCAAAGGACAACGAGTCTAAATTCATACTTCCATTTATAATACAACGAAAGCCTCAAATTGAATTGAAGCCTTCTGATTTCTGTTCCAATAGTGTCCCTGAAATTTTAGCTCTGTTCTGAATCCAAAACGATTATCTATATGGCCCCACATGAGTACAAATTTGCGATATTTTTACAAAATTTGACTCCTCATTTCTTCAGCCATATTGGATTCTCTCTCTGGAAAGTTCGGTAATTTCCGGAAAGACATCGAGATTCGGGAATTTGAAAATGGCGGGAAATTCAAATCGGCAAATATCTTTATTTTTTCGCATTTTCTATTCATTAGGTCTTTTTCATGATATATTAGGGTTGATGAGAATATCATTAATATTTCTTGCTGACGTTTTGTCTGTCAAAGAACGTATTTTATGTCAAAACTCACAAAATAATTTCGCTATAGCGGTTGAAATTTTGTTTACAGTTCTAATCAGAAAATCAGGTCAAGTAAAAACAGCAGATATTTTTGTTCTCTACATTATATCATGTTTAGCAAGAAAAAGAAAGAAGACGATCCAGCAGTACTGCATCCAAGTCAAAACGATGATTCCAGGGTCGTAGTCATTCCAATTGATGAGAGTCAGCATGCAGAGACAGCATTTGATTGTAAGTTGATCAAAATTGATTTTTCTTGTTTTTCAATTCATCACGATAAAGAAGGTCATAATGTCACGTTCACCTATATTTCAACAGCAGTCATCAATGTCTACCATGTAGAAGAAGTTGTTTATCACAAGATTACGGATATTTACAGGAAAAATAAAAAACACAAATTATCCCATATTTCTTGATCAGACATACCGTACAAGGTCAGCACCATCTATCTTATACCCATGGGCGTAGCCAGGGGGATTGGGATGCGACCACAAATTATAGTTTGAAATCATTAGAATGCACTACAATGTTTATTAAAAAAAATTCCTGTACCCCACTTTTTGGGGCTCGCTTGCACACAGTGATGCAAACCCAAAAATTTGCAACCCCCCTGACATTTGTTAGCCCCTGCTACACCTCATATATGTATACACCTGAGATCCGGTAACTTAAAGTAATAAATCCCATCCGCCCATAAATTATCTTTCAAAAATCCCCAGGGATTTTGTCATTTGAGACATCTTCACCAAGAGATTTGGGGAACCACACTATGCATTTATTAGAGAGAATACGGCATAGGATAGATGGTGCTAACCTTGGAGACATAGGCCTATACAAAAAATTATTTTGTAGGCCCCTATCTCTGATCCAATAGAAGTTTTCAGTACCTGTACCTGTTACTTCCATGCATGTTCTGCAGAGTGCATGTATATTATATATCCAATATCTAAGAATCCTGGATATACAAACTCTACTAAGTGAAAGGAATTGGAGTGGAGTTGAACTCCATGTACATTTATATACACATGTCTTGTAATAATTATTGTTAACCCTCATACTCTCTTGTTATGATATATTATTTTACAGGGTATGTAGAAAATGCCAAAAAGGAAAATGATGTCCTAAAAATTGTACATTGCATGGACATAGTACCAGAAGCTGAATATCACCCTCATGGATATATGTCATTTAGAAATACTCGTAAGAAGTATATATAGAGGCAATCAATGTTCAAGCCAGTCAATGTACATGTAATAAGCTTCACTAACTTGTTCATAGATTTAGAGCCAGTTTAGGAAATTTTACTCTTTGACTTCAGGGTGTTCCACCTCAGTTTATTTCAAACATAAATGAGGCCCTGAATCTGGAAACTGTTTTTTAGATGTACATGCATTCTAGCTTTTGCGCTCTAAATGTGCATTTATTGACAAAACTCTTATGAAGAGGCAGTGTTCAAGCATGAATATATTCACAAATCACATATGCAGGAGACAAGTTTATTTTTCAAAACAATTCATATGAAAATCATAAACCCAAATTATAACCCTGTCAAGTCTCGTGACAAATAGAGTAAAATGGTAAATAGCTAAAAAGAACTTCAAAAACATTGAACTTGCTGTACAAAAAGCGGAAGCCCATGAATGTCAAATTTTAAAATATTGAGAAAGAAATGTTCGCATATTATCTCTCATCAAGTGAAAATTACCTGGACCAAAATCAAGATGATTTAATCCAAAAATTATTAACCATGATATAGTGCAGCTTTATTCATGTTGTGGTGCATTACAAACTACATGTTATGCATGAATTTCAGACATGCTTTTTAAACTGTCACCCATGTTGCTGCATCGTATATGATCCCTCTCTCTTTCCAATGGTATATATCCCATAAACATGACCATTGTGATATTTTGTCTTCAAAAGGGTATATGAAGAATGTACGTAAGGGGACTGATAAGTTGAAGTTGGTTCATTGTTATGAACCACCTCCCCCTCCCGCATCAAGTTACCCTGCCTTCCGAACTACAAATCGTAAGTATACAGACCCCTTGGTTTATCAACAAAATACTCTGAACCCCACAAACCCAAGGGATATACAACATGTACTATGCACTTTATCTTTCAGGAGTATCCCCGCCTTGCATGGAATCTTTTGTTTAAGCTTTTTATTAATTTTGTGTTCTTTAGTTTAGTTTTGAATTTCTTAGCCAGCTGACTTTAACTGACAGTGCATGTGAATTTATACATATTATCTACTGGTAGAAAGGTCATTTGCAGGTGATTTAAGGTGAAGTATTTGTTTGGGTCAGTGCCACATGTGCCACTTGTTTGAGTACCATTTGAGTGTCATTTGAGTTGGATCAAGAATTGAGTCCTGGTTTGCTTTTTACAAGGATGAATTTGTAAAAAATAATTTTATTTCTAAAATAAGATTTTGACTTTGGACTATTGATTGCAGTTCATGTATACATGGAGATATAGATTCTGTTATAACATGACACTTCTTGTGTTTTGGAGGTGACCTCGTAGAAGCTCTAGACTTGCTTATCTGTCAACTCTACTTCACCTTTATGAGACAAAACTACACCTTATCATCTGTACAAACATGTACAACACATGTGATACATCAAGAAATTGAAAAAAAAAAGTTTTCAGAATTCTTATGACAAAGCCCATTTTATTGATCTAAAGTAATTCTAGTTGAACTAGAATTCCAACTAGAATCTACAGTAAAACCTAAGTATAACACCTTTGGTACATCTAAAAAGTGTTCATAGAAGGTGCTCCACTTATAGAGGTTCATTTAACATGGAATCAGTTGGTTTTGGTCTTGGTACAGAAGTGTTTCACTTCTCGGGGTGTTCCACATTCTTTTTTGGCCATGTAATATGTCAATTTTTGTCTATGCTAGATTTGTTTACATGCGTGCTGACCATTGGATTCAAAAATTATTTTGGCATTGTTAGATTTATGCTTCACTAGCAGATTTCTGCCTGTAATCGCAATTTTAAGTTCATTCTTAACCATGGTGACCAAAAGTCATCATCAAATTCCATCTATCCTTATTGTTGTTAGTAACCATAGTAACAGTTACCGAAGCCTTTTTAGTGTTTCAGCTTCTGTAAGGAACAGTTGTATAACAATTATCTCTACCCTGGTCTCTCTGGCAAAGACTTCTGTGTTTGTTCTGTCACAAGACAGGCTGACCGCAGTGCAGAAAGACCTTGGGTTTTGACTCTAAGTGTCTTTATGCCCTACTACTCTATTGCTCAGCTAGTTTCTTGAAAGGTAACAGGAGCCATATGCACTCCAAATTATCATTGTTGTTTGAATCTTGAATCTACCAGGGTATATGCAGAACATGCACCAGACTAGAGATCATGTGAGACTCGTCCACTGTGTAGATCCCCCTTCTCTCTTACCCCCCACAGCCTCATATCCGGCCTTCCGCGTCGCGAAACGTGAGTACAGATGAGGGTAAAACGTCTTTGATCATCTTTGTTTGTTTTTTAATTTATTTGTTTGTTTGTTGATTCATTTGATTGTTTGTTAGTTTATTCACTTATTGCAAGTTTATTTGCTTGCTTATTAGTTTATCGGAATGCTTGTTATCCAGAGCAGATAAGCGATAGCGACACTAAGTAGCTTCTTTGCTCATGCACAGGACAGTGACTCCTAACTGCCAATATTACTCAACTCTTTTATATATCAAATACCTCATTCAAGTCATTTTCTTCCTGAAAAAATGGAGGGATTGATTATTTTTTTATTTGAATACATGCAGCGCCTTTGGCCCTGTCCAATAATTGCACAACCCCAGAGCTAATCTTTGTACAGTTGTATGGTCGAATTTATTTGGCAGCGTCTGATTTGAATTATTCCCATTTACTGAGAAGCGCATCTGAGTTACCCTCTCCTGGCCCTAAGGATGTTGACAACAAACCCACGTATTTCCTTGAGAAATATAAGGGCAAAGATTAGCATCCAGAAACCTAGCCCAAAAACTTATAAAATGACCAAAATGTTGGTGTGTGCTGTTTTTCAGGGTATCTAAAGAATTCCAGGTTGCCTCAAGATAAAGTTAAGGTAGTGCATTGTGCCGACATAAATCAACCAATTAGCCATTCCTCTTCTGCGGGTCATGGTTTATCCAGTAAGTGAGCTGTGTGCATTGCCACTGTCAATGAAAAATTGTACCAATATATTACTGGTTTACATAGTAATCAGTTTTGGTACAGTTTTTCACATAAAATTGTAGGCCTGCTAGATCTTACATTATGTTGGTTTGTATTGGTTTTGGGCCTTTTCTGGGGTGACTTCATATGACATAGGCTTCTCTTCATCAGAACATAAAGTGGGCAACTCTGACGCTAAACTACAAATTTCAATATACTACTTTGTACTACAATAAACAGAACACAATACTACAATCCACTACACATTCACAACACTATAAACCATTTCACAATACTTTAATCCACACAATACTACAATGCAAAGTACTCCTCTACCAGCAGTAAAAACTCTACCATGCATTAAAATGTGTTTTAACTCCGCTAATTTCCCTAACCCCTAAAGCCCCCTCCTCTGTGATAAAATCTGATTATTCTAGCCTGCACAATGCACTGGGGATTCATTACTTAGTAGATTCAACTGCATTATCCCAAAAGATGTTGCAACATGGTGTGTTTTCAATGCATGTTTCAGATCAGAAATGCAGATTGCAGGAAGTGTTGTATGATATAGTAACACTACATGTAATTATTTTGCAGCTTTTGAAACGCTTGACAAATCTTGAAATTAACCTCTACAGCCACATTATGTTAATACAAAGGGGAGAATATTTTGATATCCGTTGATATTTTATGGCAATATGAATACTAAGCTTGATTACAAAAAATCATTTTGGGTTCATTCTAGGATTGGCAACCACCAACATTCCCTGTCGATTTAAAAAAATGCTGTCAACATCCATTTTGAGCTGGAATGATGCTGTCTTACATATGTATCCATTCAGTAAAAATATTCCAGGGTGGGATCTATTGGATCCTGAATCTATTGGATTACTCCCCTTGTGATCTTCTTGGATATTGCAAAAAATTTATATTAGGTGATGGGCTAGCTCTTAATTTGCGGTATGGAGGTAGAATTTTGGAGACCATGCTAGTTACATCCTAATTTGTAATTCTCACCACAATTTGGCAATAATTAAGCAAAATTTTACAGCGTTTAGGAAAAAATCAATATTTATACCCCCCACATGACAAAAGTAGGGGGTACATAGAAAATAATTAATAACTTTACAAAAACATTATGAATAACCACTTTTTTTTCAGAATATATGCACATATATGTCATTAATAACTGGTAAAAAATTGGTGACTATAGGTATGATGGTTGCTATGGAAACAGAATGTGATTGTCAAAATTTGCTAATTTGTGTCTATTTTGGGGGGCTCGTTAACGAAAAAATGCTATGTAAGCAAGTTATGCTGCAAAAATAGCATTGATTTAAGGTTTAGAAAATTGCATATATATGTCCTGCATGCATTAAAATTGGAATGATGATTGAGTCTCAATCAGAAATATCTTTAAATTTTTTTTCTATGACCCACCCCCTCTAAATAATCCAAAGTGGGCGTGGCATTTAAGTGAATGATCAAGCCTACTTAACAGTAGATAACTTCAATTGTATAGCCTGTATTATCAAAATTTCAACAGAATGTAGGATTCTGGTATCAGTTAACAGTTTATATGATTTTGTTCATCCCCCTCAATATTTATAACCCCTCCTTCGTCACCACCACCCCTCCCGCGTGACAAAAGTAGGGGATACCTTGAAAATGATTAATAACTTTACAACAATGCAGCGAATAACCATCAATTTTTCAGACAGGATAAAAGTATATGTCATCAGTAATTGAAAAAATTCTTGGTAATTATAGGTATGATAGTTTCTAAACAGGATTTGATCGTCACAACTTGTGAAGATATTGGGAGGGGGGGGGGCTGGTTCACAAAGAATACTATGCTAGCGAATTCTGCTGCAAAATTAGCATTGTTTTAAGGTTTAGAAAACTGCATATCTATGTCCTGCATGCATTAAAATGAAATGATGATTGGGTTTCAATTAGATTTTTTAGATTTCACTATGACCCATCCTTCTTTATAATCCAAAGTGAGCGTGACATTTAACTGTATGATCAAACCTACTTAATAGTTCAACATTTCTATACAATGTAGGCATCAGTTAACTTTTTATCATTTTGTTCATCCCCAAATATTTATGCCACTCCCCTCGTCTTAACATACTAAAAATTACACATGTATATGTCATAAGTAACTGGAAAAAGATTATGGTGATTATAGGTTTGATGGTTGCTATGGAAAAAGGATTCGATTGTCAAACAAAGGACCGCATGTTGTTTGTAGAATGAATCGGGTTAAAAACATCAATACACTGAATGTGATGGCCATACCAACTTCTTATAATCAGCTATAAATCTGCAAAATTATATCATACGGAGCTGAAATTTCTCAAGTAACTCCAGAATTAAATTGTCTCTAAAATGGGATATGACACACTATGTAACATTAAGTACATTTTGCTGTAGAGGGGGGTGCTGTTGTTTTTTGACACCCTGTACATTTATTCTGTCTGATAAATTGGTGGTTATTTCCTGCATTGTTGTAAAGTTATTAATCATTTTCAATGTATCCCCTACTTTTGTCCTGCGGGAGGGGTGGTGGAGGAGGGGGAGGGGTTACAAATATTGAGGAGGGATAGAAAAGTCATAGAAAATGTTAACTGATACAAGAATCATACCTTCTGTTGAAATTGTGATAATACTGGCTATACAATTGAAGTTATCTACTGTTAAGTAGGCTTGATCATTCAGTTAAATGCCACGCCCACTTTTGATTATTTAGAGGGGGTGGGTCATAGAAAATTTTTAAAAATATATTTCTAATTGAGACTCAATCATCATTCCAATTTTAATGCATGCAGGACATATATATGCAATTTTCTAAACTTTAAAACAATGCTATTTTTGCAGCATAACTTGCTAGCATAGGATTTTTTCGTTAACTAGCCCGCCCAAAATAGACACAAATTAGCAAATTTTGACAATCAAATTCTGTTTCCATAGCAACCATCATACCTATAGTCACCAATTTTTTACCAGTTATCAATGACATATATGTGTATATATTCTGAAAAAATTGTGGTTATTCATAATGTTTTTGTAAAGTTATTAATTATTTTCTATGTACCCCCTACTTTTGTCATGCAGGGGGGTATAAATATTGATTTTTTCCTAAACGCTGTAAAATTTTGCTTAATTATTGCCAAATTGTGGTGAGAATTACAAATTAGGATGTAACTAACATGGTCTCCAAAATTCTACCTCCCATAACCTAATATACTTAATCCTCCACTCCGATTATAACTCTGCGAAAATGACCTGGATGTTGATGGGCTTGGGATAAGCAAAAGATTCCATTTAATAAATGTTGATTGGTCCCCCCTCAGTATCATACTCCACTACTTTTTTCACTGAGAGAGGAAGAATAAATTGAGAAAGGTTATGATTTTCAGAGATGACAGAATCTTTGTCAACCTGGAGACAATTTTAGGGTGTATTTTCCCAGAATGGCCAATATAAGGTTCATTTTATACCCCAATTGTGTGCTTTCAGGGTATTTAAAAAATCAAAGAAAACCGAATGATAAAGTTAAACTAGTACATTGTGCAGAACTAGAACAACCTAGTGGGGCCTACTATCCCGATTATGCTGTCCCTCGTAAGTAACCATGATCTCACTATCAGCTGGTCACTATAGTTACAATTTTCTTCCCAAGAGGCACGGCAAATCCCAATAGACATCATTTCTATCTATGAATAACTACCGAATTTTCAGGCATCTCTATGAATGTAAATACATTTGACTTCAGGTCTGTATTTTTTCTTTGCTAATTCAACTCCTTGACTTTTTACTTTGTCTTTATTTAATTTTAATTTGTCCAACATGATACATACAGTCAGGAACCCTTTGGTTATTGTTTTTCTGTCTCATACTAGATTTCATAATTCCCCTTTCTCTTCTATCACAGCACACATACAGGGCTGGCCAATACATTTTAGTGTGCCATTTGTTGCCCTTGCATATGATACACCATTGGAAAGCCAACTCTTTCTCTTCAATCACAGCACATGTACTTATGTCCCATTTCATTAAAAGAATCTGAATAATTTTTTTTTCGATAATCATCTATATATTTAAAGTCCCATTCTACAGTACACAATTCTCCTATTTACTCTCACCATATCTTTGCCCAATACACATGTCACATACAAGTCATATCATAATCAGTCATGTCATGCTCAGTCATGTTACACTCAGTCAAGTCATTCTTTGTCATTCTCCATGGATATTCATCTTTTTGTATAGTTAGCAGATATGCACCTAAGTTTCTGTACAGTTTAGTAAAAAGCTCCAAAATATGGCTCAAATTTAGTTAGCCATCTAAAATAAACAATGGCTAGGTAACTAATAGCCCATGTTTTTCTGAGGCAATGCACTGGACTGTCTCATATTTCTCTGATTCAGGAGATGGAAGTGTCATTTTGGCTCACACACTTGGTAAGGAGGTTGAAATATAAGTTCTCTTGGAGCAGGTCTTCATTTCATATAAATGTGATTTCTATTCATGGCTGAGCTAAAGAGGATTTTTTGGGGATTCATTCTGGTGGAAAATGAACATATGGTGTTATTTTGGGGACATATTAGACAGCTACTATCTTAAAATATTTTTGGAATTCACTCTGGTAGGAAATGAATATTTTGGGTACACATTAGACAATTTATGTCTTAAAACATTTTTGGAATTCACTCTGGTAGAAAATGAATATTTGGGGTACACATTAGACATTTTATGCCTTAAAACATTTTTGAGATTCACTCTGGTAGAAAATGAATATTTGGGGTACACTTAAGACAGTTTATGTCTTAAAACATTTTTGGGATTCACTATGGTAGAAAATGAATATTTGTGGCACACACTAGACATTTTATGTCTTAAAACATTTTTGGAATTCACTCTGGTAGAAAATGAATATTTGGGGTACACATTAGACATTTTACGCCTTAAAACATTTTTGAGATTCACTCTGGTAGAAAATGAATATTTGGGGTACACTTAAGACAGTTTATGTCTTAAAACATTTTTAGGATTCACTATGGTAGAAAATGAATATTTGTGGTACACATTAGACATTTTATGTCTTAAAACATTTTTGGAATTCACTATGGTAGAAAGTGAATATTTGGGGTACACATTAGACAGTTTATGTATTAAAACATTTTTGGGATTCACTCTGGTATAAAATGAATATTTGGGGTACACATTAGACAGTTTTTGTATTAAAACATTTTTGGGATTCATTTTGGTATAAAATGAATATTTGGGGTACATAATTAGACAGTTTCTGTCTTAAAACATTTTTGGGATTCAATTTGGTAAAAATGGATATTTGGGGTACACATGAAACAGTTTATGTCTTAAAACATTTTTGGAATTCACTATGGTAGAAAATGAATATTTGGGGTACACATTTGACAGTTTATGTATTAAAACATTTTTGGGATTCACTCTGGTAGAAAATGAATATTTGGGGTACACATTAGACATTTTATGCCTTAAAACATTTTTGAGATTCACTCTGGTAGAAAATGAATATTTGGGGTACACTTAAGACAGTTTATGTCTTAAAACATTTTTGGGATTCACTATGGTAGAAAATGAATATTTGTGGTACACATTAGACATTTTATGTCTTAAAACATTTTTGGAATTCACTATGGTAGAAAATGAATATTTGGGGTACACATTAGACAGTTTATGTATTAAAACATTTTTGGGATTCACTCTGGTAGAAAATGAATATTTGGGGTACACATTAGACAGTTTCTGTCTTAAAACATTTTTGGGATTCAATTTGGTAAAAATGGATATTTGGGGTACACATGAAACAGTTTCTGTCTTAAAACATTTTTTGGATTCATTGGTAGGAAATATATTTGGGGTACACATTAGACAGTTTCTGTCTTAAAACACCTACTGCAAACTAATTTGACATTAGTTTAGCTGGTTATCGGGCCTTTAAATTGAAGTATGAGAATTCTTCGTGCTAAATTATGCGCTTGCAGTCTTTTGCTTTATTTCATTTGCCTACGCTTTCTTGTATTTTCCTAGATAAGACTATCACTGTTCCACAACTGGATGACTCTAACTGCAGTTAGCTTCATTCAAGATGGTTGCCGAGATCATTTCGTTTTCGATAAACCTCCGATTTCGGCTAAAATAAGTTGAATCTGGATTCCAAATGTTTCGCCATGCAAATTAATAAAGCTACGATGGTAAATAACCACAAATAAATGCTCAAACAACCGCGATATTGGAGAATTTTAAAGAAAACGGCTTCACTTAGAATGACTCTAACTGAAGTTGATGATGACGTCATGATGGCGTAGATCATCAACTTCAGTTAGAGTCATTCTAAGTGAAGTCGTTTTCTTTAAAATTCTCTAATATTATGGGTGTTAGAGCATTCATTTGTGGTTGAATACAATCATAGTTTTATTAATTTGCATGGCGAAACTTTTGGAATCAAGATTCAACTTAGTTTAGCTGAAATCGGAGGTTTATCGAAAACGAAAGAATCTCGGCAACCATCTCGAATGAAGCTAACTGCAGTTAGAGTCATCCAGTTGTGGAACAGTGACTATAGTATTAGATAATTAACAGACTCTAAATGTTTATTAATTATCTTACAACATCAAGTCATTGTTAATGCCAGGTAAATAAAGTGGCATATTGATTACAAATTCATATATTCAGTTACTATGAAAATACATACGTTATTTAATGGCGTATGTATATATAATGGTCTTGCATCTAGCTTTTGGACCCCCAGAGTTATGAACTTGGGTATGGGGGGTCAAAAGCTTCAAGCAAGACTAGTATATCTATTAAACATTTGGAGTCTTCTTATTGGTGTATTTAATGCATGCTATTGATACTGATTGTATATCCCTTGGGTTTGAATGTTAAAAAAATAACTTTTTGATTAAAATATTTTTAATATACACATATTAATTAAAATAAATTTATATTAATATTAATTATTATTATATCACTATCTAACTAGCGACAGTATGATTGGTCAAAACCGGGTCACATGTCGTGGGATATCTGGCGATATTCAATGGCAATGCTAATCAGATAAGACAACCGTGAGATATCTAGCGATATCCCACGCTCCCGGGAATTTTCAAAGAATTTGTTTTCGTTCAGTGTAAATAATTTAGTTCAGTGTAAGTCAAAATGGCAGACGAATCGAGTAGATTCAATGTATTTCAATGTTAACCTATGACTTAATAATATTAGGGATGTTTAGCTAGACAGTGATATAATAAAACAAATATTTCACTCTATTTTCGGTGAATACCTGTAGCACTTTCACAAGGTGATATTCCACTTGCCCTTCGGGCTTCGTGGAATATCACTTGTGAAAGATGTACAGGTATTCACCTCAATAGAGTGAAATATTTGTTCAATATTTATTATTAGTTTTTATTTTGAAACAGTTATTGATATCTAACTTACATTAAACATCCTTTATTTTGGAAATAAATCTTTTAATGAAACAAGAAAACGTCTGTATATAACTGTAATTGTATGCTTTCATATCTCATATGTTATTATAGCCGAGGCATGGCAGGACCAGATTGAGAAGAGCAAGGATAGAGTTCACAAACTCATGGAGAAGTATGAGAAGAAAATGAAAGACAGCAAGGTAAGCACATAGTTTCCAATAGTTTGCCTGTAGATTTTTCAACCGGAAAAAACAGTAGGTCTCAAAGTACACTGAAATATGATTCAAACTCAATCTATAGAACTCAGTGAATTTGAGTTGTATAGATTTTTTATTGATAAACATGTCAAATATATTGATTGCCAATAAACTAATGTTCTGATGTTGAAATCTGATAGATTTCTATTGGTAAAATGTGATTGAATCTTCATATAATTTGAATACTTAATTCTCAATAGTTACAATTTCATTGATTTCCACTATATCAAATCTGTATAATTTTAGCATTACAAAAGTGTTTGAGCAGCACCTTTACCACTAAACTTCTTGTTTGGTAGGGATATAGAGAAGCCAGTTTGTTCATCCATTCATTGTTCGTGGCTCATATTTAATGTCTACTTGTAGGTATCGGGCAGTGTCTACTCAGAGATGGGCAGGGCAGGAGAATGTGTATGTAAGGTAGCTGACAAGAGCAATGCCAACTTGATCATCATGGGCAGTAGGGGCTTAGGTAAGAATTCTAGATAATTTTATTAATTTTCTAATATGGTTCAACTCTGCAGTGCCTTTGTATATGATGTAGTCTTGCATATAAGCCAAGAAATCATATTTTTGTCAAGCTACAGCCATGACAGCTTAACACCTGTGTTTAAATACAATATGGAGATTTTTTTGGCCATTTTGCTTGTATGCAAGATGAGATGTAGAGAACCATACCCATGGTAGAGGAAGATGTATATCTGTACATTAAAATATCTCAAGGTTGGAGGCAGGGACAGAGATTCTGTATAGATAACAGAGTAATGTACCAATAGAAAGGCATATTTGTTTTGCTTTGAATGGAACAAGTTTGAAGAAAAACTGTGCAGTATGAGACTCACAGTCCTTGATTTTTAAACATCTGGTTGGTTTAAAATTCAAATTAATGGTTGTTTTTGTATGTAGATGGACCCCCGTGAGTTACTCAGTTTAAACTTGTGTCCCAGCATTTATACTTACTTAATGGTATTATATTTCAGGTATGGTACGCCGTACTGTGATGGGATCATGCAGCGAGTATGTCTTGCATCATAGCAAGGTTCCAGTAACTATCATACCCAAAGAAGATCCTAACAAATACATATAGGAATACTGTTGATGCCTTCTAGCATGACCACATCATGGCTGTTGTTACCACTGGCTTGTCGTATGAAATAAAAGGATTTGAGAACATTTTTGATTCACACTATAGTGACTAGAACCTTTTAGCAGGATCATGTATTGTTAACTGTTGATTTTGAAACAATTAAATCCCCAACTCTATTCATAAACATAAACCTGCCAAAGACAAACACTCGTTTTCCTAATTCAATAAATATTTGTTTTCAACGATTGAAATAGAGTTTCTGTGCTATGAGGAGGCTGTGAAATGCAGTTTTAAGTTTCAATAACAGTCCACTTCATAATTATTGTAAAGTGGGAATAAAAATATATTTTAGTTGGATTGTATTTTAGTGGAGAACGTAAACGTGAAGTTTCTGCTGTTTTCCCACTCAGGTGATGTTGAAATTGACTGTTAAGAATCAAAAACATATCTGTAAATATTTATGTTAAATGGGCTCGGTGTCTATTTCAGACCCTTTATACCTCAGAATAAAAAATCTGAAAAACCAAAAACCTGCTCCAGGATTTAACTTTTGATTCAAACCTCATTCCCTGTTAATATTCCATTTTGAAAAAGATGCTCATATTGATTTAGTTCAATCAAATTTGAAATATGCCTGCACCTTTTTTTCAATTTTGAACCAGCAATGGGGTGAGAACCTGTATAATTTACATCAAAAAGAAAGCTTGTATCATATTCTATTGGTTTTGAGCTGTTGTGAAATTTTCAGGTATTTTTAGGTTTAGAAATAGGCACCGATCCCATTGAAAGTTGTGACTTGTTATCAGAAGTTTTTTCTTGTAATATTGTGTGATTGTGACCACTTTGCTTGTATAAGAATACTTTAAGAACACATTCTATGTTTTTTGGTTTTTCTCTGATATATTATACTAGACTTTTGATTTACCAAAGCCTCAGTATAAAGAATCATGCTGGATTAGAGTAGAGGCGGTGTGCCATACATATATGTACCACAATGCTCAATATTGTGAAATCATTGAAATAATTGAAACACCTTCATACAGATGTTTTATCTTGTGCCATGATAAATGTTCATAAAATGAAATCATATCAAATATGCAATAATACCACGTTGGATTTAAACAGATATGCCAGATATAGGTTACTAACCAAGTTAGATAATATCAGTGTGCCATACAGTGAAAATTTCATGAAATGAAAAACTTTTTTAAATTGTATTATGTAAACTGCCAGGAGTTATGAAATAACTTCAGTTTGTGCCATTGAAATATGTAAAACTATAAGAACCAGGATTGCACTTTCAAAATATAGAAGTACTGTTTTAAAACAGCTAGGGGTCAATTTCTCAAAATGTATGAAAGTATTGTGTAAAAACCAGGGGTACATATCTCAAAACACCGATTTTTCCAAAGTTCACATTCTCTTATAATGATCATGATTTAGGACTTCATATTAATGTTTTGAGAATAAGATCTTAAACAAGACAGAAAATGTGGAATGTTAAACAAAATGAAACATATAGTTATCATGGAAAATATTATATTGATTTAATAATGTTATCATATGAACACATAATAAACAAGACAGTAATAACTAAAAATATAAATGTTATGTTAGTGCTTTCTTATTTTTGGGTTTTATTTTCTACATTGTCATTCTCAAACTTTTTGATGCTGAAAAAGTAAAGAAAAATGAAGGAAATCCAGAAAAGGATCAGAACTTTAAGAGAACCTAACAAGGTATCTGAACAAATAATTCAATGATCAATAAAGTACATGTTACTTGTATGTTGTCACTCCTATGTGAAAGAATGGAGCAGCTATGAATTATGGCTAGTACTGTACTAGTAGAGATACTTAAAACAATAGGAGATTGAAGACGAATCATTGATATGCAGTGTCACCACCTGCCATTTGTTAGAGACACCAAATATCAGACACCTAATTCCATCCAAAAGTTGGAGACTATAACAATATGTCAATACTTGTGGTGTTGACATAAAAATCAAATTACCCCCAAAATTGTTAACAGAATAACTAAGATGTATTCAAGAGTATTTTATTTCTTATTAATTTAATTCATAGTTGAACTAAATCCACTTGTAGCTACACATTTATGCCTCTAAATGTCTTAATCTGCTATTTTCTTTCATAGCGTTACTATGGCAATAGCCTACTATGGCATTACTATGGCATTACTATGGCAATAGCCTGAAAGCCTATAGATCATCAGTCACCATATTTGCAAGAATGGCCATCTTCAATAATTGTTTGCAATTAATCCAGTTACTAATTTAATTTTAAATGCAACGTTGTGACATAGTGTATACAAGAACACTGCGAGAAAGATGAATACACCTCTTATATCCATGGTCACTCGCAATCCCCTTTCCCATATGTCAAAAGTTTCATCTTGAGTTCAAAGCATGATCAATGTTGTATAAATATCACAATATTGCACTGCTATTCATTGCCCTAACTGAACAATCAAATTTCAATTGTTCAGTTCATGCTTTCTCATATTAGTCTACAGCAAGTTTGCGGAAAGAGCCTTGCATTCCACCAAGTGATGCATCTTCATTTGGTCGCTTAGATTCATCCACACCATATTTGCCATTCAACAGCAATTCTTCTCTGTTAGCCATAACTTCAGCTTTCCAGTTTTCTAAAAGTACAAGTTTTCATAATTCATACAACTGAGCTATTTCTAGTTGATTACTAGTAATTGAATAAAATGCCTTCTTGAAATTGCAAAAAAATTCTACAACTACTACGGACATAAAATTTATCATGAAATGGAAATTTAATATATTTTGGTAGCTGTATTTTTCCACAATTAATCTATAGTAGGTAATGTGTATAACTCATAATATTTGGCCAGGATTGAGATATACACATCCCCTCAATCACTGGTTACTTCAACTTGATGAACATGAAAATGAGAGCATTTTGTGTCAGTATGCCTTGAACAACCCTTGAACAGCCATTGAACAGCCATTGAACAACCCTCGTATAACAGTATATGAAAAACATACTTTTCAGTTCCTCTAGGCTCCCAGCCTCTCCTCCCATGTAGTCAGGTAATATACGCTTGGGAACCTCTTTATGGAGGGACTCTATGCTACTCCAGTGGAACTTCATCTACAACAAACAAAGCAGAACAGCTTTCTTATTTATTTTTCTTATTTTTAGATTGCATGTAAAGGTAGTATTTTGGCATACCGAATGGTATAACTATGATTTGTTATGTAGTCTTCCTGTACCAAATAGTAAGTGGTAAATAAAATATTGAATTAAAAATACAGAGCTACTCACCCTCTTTTTTGACTTCTCCTTCATGAATAATTTGAAGACTTCCATAAGTGCATTGAATATGGTTGGTGTGTTATAGAAATTGGATCCCTTGTTCCTTGTTGGGTACATATCCTAGAAAACACAGTAGAGCATTGAATACGGTTGGTGTGTTATAGAAATTGGATTCCTTGTTCCTTGTTGGGTACATATCCTAGAAAACACAGTAGAGCATTAAATATGGTTGGTGTGTTATAGAAATTGGATCCCTTGTTCCTTGTTGGGTACATATCCTAGAAAACACAGTAGAGCATTGAATATGGTTGGTGTGTTATAGAAATTGGATCCCTTGTTCCTTCTTGGGTACATATCCTAGAAAACACAGTAGAGCATTGAATATGGTTGGTGTATTATAGAAATTGGATCCCTTGTTCCTTGTTGGGTACATATCCTAGAAAACACAGTAGAGCATTGAATATGGTTGGTGTGTTATAGAAATTGGATCCCTTGTTCCTTGTTGGGCACATATCCTAGAAAACACAGTAGAGCATTGGATAAAGTTGTTGTGTAATAGAAATAGTTACCGTATGTTTCTTGGACACATAAACAGAGACTACAAGAATATTGCAATTTGCAATAATGTGTTGAAAATCTGATGGTTTCTTAGAAATTTACTTTGTCAGCATGTTAATGTTCTATTAGTTTTATTGTTTGTTTGGTAAAGCCATGTTGTGTCATTTTCAAGTAGTCAAATAACACCAACTTAAAACTTAATGAGGGAGTTTAACATTAATGTATGTTATTTATTTTTCATATATACCTGCCAACATTTCATGGCCTTTCCAATGATTTCCCTGTTCCAATTTGTTGCATGTGCTAATCCAAAATCTGTAAAGTCTTGAAGAAGAACAAACCCATGGACCTGGTTCTCTTCATCCATGAGAAGGATATCATTCATCATGAAGCTTGTCTTCATCATGGCACCAAAGTCATGTTTATAAGGATCATAGCCACCTGAAATACCAGTTATGTTTATAAGGGTTTTAGCCACCTGAAATACCAGTCATGTTTGTAAGGGTTATAGCCACCTGAAATACCAAAGTCATGTTTATAAGGATCATAGCCACCTGGAATACCAGTCATGTTTGTAAGGGTTATAGCCACCTGAAATACCAAAGTCATGTTTATAAGGATCATGGCCACCTGAAATACCAGTCATGTTTATAAAAATCATAGCCACCTGAAATACCAGTCATGTTGATTCAGATCATAGCCACCTGGAATATCTAAGTCATGTTTATACTAAGCATAGCCACCTGAAATACCAAAGTCATGTTTATAAGGATCATAGCCACCTGAAATACCAGTCATGTTTATAAGGATCATAGCCACCTGAAATACCAAAGTCATGTTTATAAGGATCATAGCCACCTGAAATACCAGTCATGTTTATAAAAATCATAGCCATCTGAAATACCAGTCATGTTGATTCAGATCATAGCCACCTGGAATATCTAAGTCATGTTTATAAGGGTTATAGCCACCTGAAATTCCAAAGTCATGTATATAAGGGTCATAGGCACCTGAAATACCAAAGTCATGTTTATACTAAGCATAGCCCTTTGAAATATCTAAGTCATGTTTATACTAAGCATAGCCACCTGAAATGTCTAAGTCATGTTTATAAGGGTTATAGCCACCTGAAATACCAAAGTCACGTCTATAAGGGTTATAGCCACCTGAAATACCAGTCATGTTTATAAGGGTTATAGCCACCTGAAATACCAAAGTCACGTCTATAAGGGTTATAGCCACCTGAAATACCAGTCATGTTTATAAGGGTTATAGCCACCTGAAATACCAGTCATGTTTATAAGGGTTATAGCCATCTGAAATACCAGTCATGTTTATAAGCGTTAGCCACCTGAAATACCAGTCATGTTTATAAGGGTTATAGCCACCTGAAATACCAGTCATGTTTATAAAAATCATAGCCACCTGAAATACCAGTCATGTTGATTCAGATCATAGCCACCTGGAATATCTAAGTCATGTTTATAAGGGTTATAGCCACCTGAAATACCAAAGTCATGTACAGGGTGTCCGGAAAGTAAAGATACAAATGCTCTAATTTCATTAGATTTACCTGTTGTGAGATGAAATTGCTACAGATTGTAGAATGACATTGTAACAATTTATCCTGCAACTGTCATGACAAATTGTTTCAAAATAAAAAAGTTGTGGTTGTTATGGTAACAGTAGTCGCGGGTATGTGGAGCAGCATCACATTTATGTTTATAATTCTTTTCTCCTGATCATATCATCTTGACACTCCGTTGTCTGTTGGCTATTATGCATCAAATTATGTACCACAACAGCAAAAGGATTAGTACTGTCAGATTATTTAATCATTCGACATTGCTACTGTTATCCAGTATTATGTATTTTCCACCTTTATCTAAACATTCTTGGTGCATTTTGACCAGGGATTCAAGACCTGACAAAACCTTTGCTTTCAGTCTCTAAGATTGCTGATAACATTGGCTTCCAGCCGAGTCTCATTTTTATGTTAAACTTCTCACAAATTGCTTTAACATATTCATTAATGTAGAAGTCCAACGGGACATTATCAGGGAAATATGGGCCATTGTACAAAAATGTTAATGTCAAGACATTCAATTGTAAGATTTGTTTTCTTTGCTTTGTGCATTGGAGCACTGGCTGTGGAGGTGCACCATTGACTTTCCTATTAATCCAGGGACCCTTACAATACAATATTGAACAAAACAAAAAACTGATAAGAAATACAATGATAAACACTATTTCAAATGGTTATATTTTAGCAATTTATCACAATTTATCGATATCTTGGAACTGCTCCACATACCCCTCACCACCGTAACCATGACAATCGTAACTTTAACACATTTAGACTATATGTTATGAAAGTTGGTAGATGTATTGTAATGTAGTTCCTCTATAATCTGTAGAGATTTCATTACAAAAAAACTAAATCTCTTAAAATTAGAGCATTTGTATCTTTACTTTCCGGACACCCTGTATATAAGGGTTATAGGCATCTGAAATATCTAAGTCATGTTTATACTAAGCATAGCCACCTGAAATACCAGTCATGTTTATAAGCGTTAGCCACCTGAAATACCAGTCATGTTTGTAAGGGTTATAGCCACCTGAAATACCAAAATCATGTTTATAAGGGTTATAGCCACCTGAAATATCAAAGTCATATTTATAAGGGTTATAGCCACCTGAAATACCAAAGTCATGTTTATAAAGATCATAGCACCTGGAATTACTCACTTAAAGACATCAGAAAACACAAGTCATGCAATACTGGCAACTTTAGGAAAGCATTCATGGAAAACATTCAACAACCACAAATGATATCAAATAATCTACAATATAGTCTCTACTGTCATATTATATCAAAAGTTATGTCACAATAAATTCAATATAAGTTTCAGCATGCTCTTGCCAAAATATACAATCCAGAGAAAATGCTAAGAAAGATTTCTCACCTGACCTTACTAGAATAACTTTTCTCCCCTGATCATCTCTCCCAGGTAAGGGAATTTGCATTCTAAAAAGAAAGTTGCAATTATTTTTTATGTGTTCCCATTGAAACCATGTATTTCAATTTGTACAGTTTGCAATATCTCTATTTTTTGATGTTTTGTAATGTTTTGGATATTTAGAATACAATTTCCTATCAATTATTATATTAAGGTAAAAAATCCATTACAATACTGATCCATGTTCATGTTACCATATAAATTGTTCCAGCAGGTCATTCAATATGAGACAACATAAAACTCATTTCTACTCATCGAGTCATATCAGACTTACCCAAGGTCCAATATTTCTTCATTTTTAGGATCTTTAGGGTCCATACTTTTAAACCACTCTGGGGCACCCTTTCCCTCCACTGTCCGGACAGTCCAAAAGTTGTCCAGGGTCTTCTGTGCTTTGAGTTGACTAAATTTGGCATGGCGTAAGAACCGCAACAAGAATGTGTCATCTGAAAAGACACAACATCATGATATTCCTAAGGTAAAACCTACAACCTCTCAATCATGCCATTAAAATGTTAAAGATTTTTGATTAAAAGGGCACTGTATGAAATTCAGATCATGAACACAACATGTTTTTAATCTACAATAATATTTTACCTGCACTTTCGACATACCTTGGCACAAATATAATTTTCAGAAAAAGCCATAGCTCTAAAAAGTAAACAGCATAACCTGATAACAACAAAATTGAATCTGAAAGTATTTGTATTTTTTTCAATTTTGAAAGGCAATTTATTAACTTCAAACAATTTCTTCAAGATTACAGAAAATGTCAGTTTATTGGATATGCAAATTCAATATCAGTATAAATAATGTAAAATTATTTTAAGCTTTATTTAGGTTGAGGATTAAAGCTATTAGCCCTTTAAGGTTGTAATTTTTTTATATTGACTTGAAAATAAAATTCCCCATTCTGAATTTCCTGGTATACAGAGAGTGTGGTGGGGGCGAATTTTTATGTCATATCATAATGAATTAAAGGAACATTGCAATTTATAGAGGATAAAATGATTAAAAATAACACTTTTTCGGTAACAGATATGAAACCTTTAAAAAGCCAAATTCAGACGGAGGATTGAAAATGTTGTACAGACTATTTTAGTTTTCTCGGTAGAACGGAAGTAAATCTATGAGTTGAGTAAATGGCGATAATGTTCTTTTTATGAAGCTTTAAGAAGCAGCATCAGCACCATATGTCAGTACCATTATTTATCACATGCTCTGTAAAATTCCAGTAATCTGATTGGTTGATTACCGTGTGAGTTTTCCCGTCTCAAACGGCCATCTCACACGTTACTAGAGGCAACCAGTGATGATCAATAGCAACGATGTGACGTCACTGATTATATCACTTCTAGCTAAGGAAAACAATATGACGTCATACTATTTCACAAACAAGTACGAATACAACGGTATGACGTCATATTGTTTCAAAGAAAAATCAAAAATTATAATAGTTACCAGAAGTACACAGGGTACTGAACACAATCATAACTGACCAAATCAAAATGCTTCAAAATTCCTAGACATGTGATAAAATTGTCATCACACGTTTCAGCTTATGTGATACAGGAAATATTCCACTCGGGTAACAATGTATCACCACTCAAGCTTCGCTTTCGTGGATGATACAGTATTACCTTTCGTGGAATATTTCCTGTATCACATGCTGAAACGTGTGATAACTGATAGTGCTATATTGTTCATTTATCTCAGTCAAGTCTGAAGTATAGTGACGATTTAATTGTGTTGGTTTTTAAATAATGACCCCCACACACTTATGAGATAAGCTCAATAGGGTTAAATTCTAGTACATTATACTTTTTATGTAATTTTGAATTTCAGTGTTGTTTGTACTTAAGTACTTTTGCTCATATGATATCAAATTGATGCTTTTGATGACACTTATAGAAGTTAGAAATATATAATGAATGAAATTGCAGCAGTTGGCATCTATGACAATTGGCAGTTGGTAGCATTTGGCATATTAATGCCTAATATTATGTCTTGACCAGAAGTGGCCAATGGTCAGCGTCTATAGCAAATGGCAGGTACATTTTCCATGTTAATGCCTTGTATTTCACCACTAGAGGTAGTGACATATTGTTATAGTCTCCATGCAAATTTGGGCTGGTGTACGGCAAAAGGTGTCTGTAACAAAAGCAGTTTGGCAACTGTAACAAATGGCAGGTGGTGACATTTTGTATGTTAATGCCTCATTAAAATTTTAGTTCAAGATCATATGTGTATGTCAAGGTGATGAAGGGCAAGGTCATTATAATATGTGTAAGTCTAGGTCAACTTTGTAGGCTCAATGTCATTGTCATGTGTGTGGGTCAAGGTCACATCATAAAATACAGGTCAAGGTCACCAATTTAACTCTAAAGTTGCACCTGAATGTCTGAATATTCTACTACTGTGTCAATCATGGCCATACCTGTTCTGCTGTTCAAATGTGGCTGTCTTTTGACCCACTCTCTGAGGGCCTCTATTTGCAAGGCTCTTTGTTTGGGGTCCTCATTCAACTCTTTAACTGCCTTCTTCAACACTTTGTCATCCAATGTACACTCATAGGTGCCCTCGCCCAAATAATCTTTTATTTTCGTCTGCCACTCTGTCATTGTGGTTCTGAAAGTGAAAGTGATTGCTTATAAATATTGTATCTCTCCTATACATATCACATGTTATATTGATGAAATATTTGTAAGTTTAAAGGTAGATCAGTGGAGAATTTCTATGAATTTTCATGATTATTAATTGATATTTGATTGATTTTTTCTTTTCATATGGATATTTAAATTACACATTATATTTACATTATAGAAAAACATATACAAATGTGAAAAATACTCTCTGTTTCAAAAATCATAAGCAATTATATTCATGAAATTTTAGACATACAGAAATAATGTACCAGTCTTATCATTCAATGTACTTTTGCAATAGTCAAAGGGCACAATTGTAGATTTCTTGATATGATGATAGTCACATGTGCTTGCTGGTCAAACTAATGTATATCATATGTATGATTATTCTCGTAGTTGAGTGTAGCTTAGGAAATATTATCATGGGTTTATTGTGAGAACAAATACTGTTATAGGATTGCATTAATTTTATTAACTTAAAGGTCCAGTAGCCAATTTGAACATTGTACGAATTATATTTGTTGTTGATCGACTTGAATGTCACTTTTACATGTGTAAAATGCCATTGTATACAAATATTTTTACAACAGCCTTTGCCGTGCAGTTGTTTACAATTGTAAATTGCGTTTCATAAGCCAGGATACCTGGGCCAGGATAGTACTTCACATGTTTACATGTGACAACAAATAAACTTAATAATCAATAAATATATTCACAAAAAATCATTATGGCTCTTAAATTGCTCACCTGTTGATTCCTCAAACTTCTATGGATTATTTGGTGAACTTTGATTATTCCAAAGATTTGAAGCCTGTTATACATGTAATATCTGATTCTGAACTGCCCGGTGAACATACAATGTGCCCTGGTTAATCATTAATAAATCCCTATCCACTGACCAACAGAATTATAATGATGTCAAGTAATGCAGAGCTTACATAAATATTGATTTTTAATATTATATATGTTAAAAAATATCAATTTTGCCATAGTTGTTATCAGTTGAAAAGCTTATAAATTATTCCCCTGGTATATTGAGGGCAATTTTACTCCCTATTGGTTGGTTTTTGTTTAGTACATTGCATTCATATGACTAATTAGCTTTTATAATAAGAGGTTTGACTACAGAAATAAACTGTGAGCTCAGGGTAGTATGCAATTTTTGAAATAGCCAGGCACATTTAAAGCCAGGTTAAATGTATTTCATGAAGCTTAATCACAAAATGACAAATAGATAGCAAGGCATGAACATGTAAAATGTCACCACCTGACATTTGTTACAGATGCCAAACTCCGATTTCTGGACGCCAGATGCCAAACATCATCCACATAAAAGTTGAAGCCTATAACTGTATATGTCATCACTTGTGGTGGGGACATAACGAAAACCCAAGAAATGAGTAAAGTAAAATGTTGAGTTTTGTGAGTAAACTGAAAGCATTTTAATATACATAACAATTAATAAAAAATATTCTGGTACATTTTCAGAATACATTCATTATAGAAAGTACATTATGATTGCATCCAGGTTTCTGCAATTTTTCACCCTGTTAAGTTATGTTTTCCAATTTTTCCAGGCTAAAATTCTGGAAGTCTGGGAAACAAAGTTTAATTTCTGGGTAATTTCTATTTTAAATAGAGTGACCAGTCCATCTTATAACTCTATGACTTTTAAAATCTTTCAGATGAGATCATTAGAGTCAGATGCAGTCAAGCATTCCTGGATAACAAGTTCTAAGTATGTTCTATGGCATATTTTATAGCAAGTTCTATTGGCATGTTCCATGATGGAGTCTCCAATCTGTATTATAAGTCTAATAACGCAAGAATATGTCAATGATCCCATAACAGACTTCTCATACTTCTATAATAGTATAAAGCGGCTTTAATACAGAGAATAAGGATGTTATGGTATGCTGAGAAGTACAAGCAGTCTGGGTAACTGCTTACTGATGTGATGTATAACAGATGCAAATTGTTCAATTTAGTTGAGTGCACCACTTAAAACACAATTCCATCCTTTTATTGCCGCTACGACAATGTACATTAACATATAGTTCATCACTGCACTGCTGATTGTCTAGTTTGAAATAATCCCAGAATGCATTAGTCTACCGCAAGTTTGCGGAAGGAACCTTGTAATCCGAGTGTTCCATCATCACTTGGTCGCTTTGATTCATCCACACTATACTTGCCATTCAACAGTAATTCTTCCCTGTTGGCCATAACTTCAGCTTTCCAACTTTCTGAAAAAACAAGAATTACGTCTCATAAGAACTAAGAAAATTGCATAGTCTACCAGGAGTAACCAGACAGGGAAATTATACCACAGAGAATTATTAATCAACAGAGCATTTATGACAGGTATTTGTCTAGTTTGATGGAAATATGTAGTATTGTTAATAAGCCATTTTGGAGAAAACTGTAATGTCAGTGTAACTGTAATGAAACTCCAAGACAACGCAATAACATTCTTCTATTCTGTAGCTTACTTTTAAGATCTTCCAGGGTGCCAGCCTCGCCCCCTAGGTAATCAGGTAGCATACGCTTCGGTATGTCTTTGTGGAGTGATTCCAAACTGGCCCAGTGGAACTTCGTCTGTAAATAATGTGATTGTTATCTAATTATTACATTTTATTTTTTTTTTAAATGTTTGCACCTTAAATGACATCATGGTGTTAAAAATAATATGTTTTACACTGTATATTTGAATATTTGATAATTAAGATATTAAAAAAACTTTTCTTTGAAAAATGGCGAGAAATTTGAATATTTGAGAAACAAGTTGACAATTTTTTTTCAAAAATCTTTAAATAACTAAAAAATAGTGAATGAATGCTAAAAATATTTTTTCAAACTTAACATTGGGCCTTTAAGTAGGTGGTATCTTTTACTCTGTCCTTTTATCCACATACATGTAGTTTGTCAGTATGAGGAGTGACTTATTGCCCCATGACTTATCAATCACCCCTCGTATAATAAATACTTACTTAACTTACACATATATCTTTACACATAATATATTTAATATATACTCACTCGGTTTTTCATTTTATCCTTCATAAAAAATCTGAAAATTTCCATAAGAGCATTGAATAATGTTGGTGTGTTGTAGTAGTGGACTCCTTTGTTCCTTGTTGGGTACACATCCTGCAAAATATGGTGTACGGGTAGATATCAAAAATACAATTTGGATATCAATGAAAGCCTGTTGTTTCTCTTAAAATAGCCACCATACTAAATTAATTGCCAAAAGTAATGTATCATTCTTAAAAGTATTTACATACAGTATAACATTCAGGTTTTTAATATTAAGTTAAAAACATCTACAAAATCAATTGTTACGATTGGAGTTAAAACAACAAATGGAAAATGTTGTATGCATAATATAAATAAATGATCCAATCTTTCAAATAATTCCCTTGAAGTCAAGTTGTCAAAATAAAATGTGTCATGCTTCAAAGTATATGTAGTTTACAGTATAGTATACAAAATAAATATTAACAATTTACTTTTCCAGTTATTGCAAAATTACAAGCAAAATGTTATATAACATTGTGCCATGCTTCTCAGTATTCAAATATCAATTATCAACAATATGTTCTTCAGGTAGTACAGCAACAATGTAAAACAAGGTGTAGGCCTGCCGCCTAATGGCCAACATATTTTCAAAGAATAATTTGGTCAAAAACAAATCTTTTACTCACACTAGTATAGGTATATGTGTATATTAAATAAAGAAGTTTACTAGTTTGGCTTCATAACCTTTATTTCGATGACTTGTGATATTTGTACCTTTGAAATTAACACAATTTCCCATTTATGATTAACGACATATCAATATGCCATTTTAATATTTGTGATAAGCCATACACCCATCACTATTATGTACTATGTTTATATGATTTTAATGAATAAATAATAAAATAATAAGATAAAAAAAAAGACATGGGGATTGCAGTATTTTCGTTATTGCCAGGATTGACAAACTCATGTTCAGATATACAGGTATATGTATGTATGGATGGACAGGGAAGGTGTTATCTATATACAGTTATTATCAATTAATAGGCAACAGACTTTGAAGTTTAATTTCCTAAATTTATTTCTTTATGTATCTACTGTAAATATTTCTTGTACCTGCCAACATTTCATTGCCTTTCCAATGATTTCCCTGTTCCAATTTGTTGCATGAGCCACTCCAAACTCTGAGAAATCTAGGAGAATAACAAATCCATGGACCTGGTTCTCTTCATCCAATAGGAGGATATCATTCATCATAAATCCTGTCTTCAATGTGAAGCCAAAGTCATGTTTGTATGGGTCATAGCCACCTACAATATAGACAGTATAGATAACAGTACAACAGATGCATGGACCTGGTTCTCTTCATCTAATTGGAGGATATCATTTATCATAAATCCTGTCTTCAATGTGAAGTCAAAGTCATGTTTGTATGGGTCATAGCCACCTACAATATAGACAGTATAGATAACAGTTACCAGAACCTTAACTTTAGCTTTTGCCAAAATCCAGGGGAGTTCAAAGACCCAAAACCAATTGAAAAATGCTCAGAATGGTGAAAGACTGCATGATTTTGAAAGAAATTTTAGCCAGGGAGGGGAGGGGGGTTAGTTTCCCATGATCCACCCCTGGCTACAGGCCTGAGCACTACATGTACATGAATAAGTTGAATAAGATTTTTAATTTCTAGAAATTCAAGTCATCTCTAAAAAACATATAAAAATCTATAAAAGGCTTATGTTTCTCACCTGTTCTCACCAGAATGACTTTCCTCCCATTGTCATCTCTCCCAGGTAGGGGCACCTGCATCCTTTAATAATAGAAAGACACTTATTTTAATGACTCATTCAGTAATTCAAGGATTTAAGCCCTGGACTCAATGCATTGTCTTCTGGATTAATGTGTTGTTGATTATATAATTATACAATGCAATTATATGAAATACTGTGTTCTGATTGGCTATAATTGGACACAACTTGCCTAACTATTTGCGAACAACCATTTCTAGATTAAATTAGTTTTCATCTTTGTTATTTTGTGCAATATACTGTACTTCTACTTAACTTGGTGGCAATTTTAATTTAGCAGATCCGCCATATTGTAAGTCCGCCATATTCAATATTTCATACTTCAATCGTAAAATTGAACTCCCAAAAAATGTTCAAAACAGCAAATCCGCCAAAATAAGTAGCACCAAATTAAGTAGAAGTACAGTAGCAAAGACCAATCTCAATGAAATGTTGAGCAGTGACAGACTTACCCAATGTCCAATATTTCTTCATTTTTAGGATCCTTGGGGTCCATATTTTTAAACCATTCTGGGGCGCCTTTTCCTTCCACTGTCCGAACGGTCCAGAAGTTGTCCAGAGTCTTCTGTGCTTTAAGTTGACTGAATTTGGCATGGCGTAAAAACCGCAACAAGAATATGTCATCTGAAAGGAAACATTTGGTTTTTAAGGTAAGTTCACACCAATGGTGCTTTGATAGCGCTTTAAAGCGCCATCAAAGCGCCGTTGGTGTGAACTTAGCTTAATGACATGAATGAAGGCGATCAATATTCTAATTGATGTGTGTTGAACAAACATCCCCTATAAATTATGAAATGCCAATTTAACTGTTGGTTGTCTAATGGCCCACTGTCTGAGGTCAATTCTCTACAACTATCTTTGCTTGGGCCAATTAAATGCTTACTTGTCCTGCCATTCAAATGTGGTTATCTGATGGTTGACTATCTGTGTGTCTCTATCTATGAGACTCAGTTTGGGCTGATTAAATTACTTTCCTCCTCCGCTTTTTGAATGTGGTTGTCTTTGATTCCATTTGTCTTAGGGCATCTTTCCTCTTCCGCTTTTTGAATGTGGTTGTCTTTGATTCCATTTGTCTTAGGGCATCTATCTGAAGGCTTTTTGCTTGGGTCAATCAAATGCTTACCTGTTCTGGTATTTCTCAAATGTGGTTGTTGAATAACCCATTGTCTGAGGGCCTCTATCTGTAAGGCTCGTTGTTTGGGGTCCTCATTCAACTCTTTAACTGCCTTCTTAAACACTTTGTCATCCAATGTACACTCATAGGTACCCTCACCCAAATAATTCTTGATTTTCTTGTGCCAGTCTGTCATCGTGTTTCTGAAAGTGAAAGTGTCATTGCAATACAATGACATGTCACTAATATTTTTCTGCATTAGAATATCAGAATTTGATTAAGGCACATCTGCATGTTCTGAAATTATAATGGCTTCTTCATTTGAGTCCTATGTTATTTTCAAGTACACATTACTCATTCAAGCATGGATTACATCCTTAGGTTTTGCTTAGAGTGCATCAATATACATAGATTATTTGTAATTATTTTTGATATATAAAAAAGGTAAATTTCAGTAATCTACTTAAAAAAATAAGTCGGTGAATTTTCATACATAGTGGAAAATTGTTAACCCTGAACCTAAGTACATTTTTGAACTCTTTGTGCAAGAGTGAAAACTATAGACCATATCGTATGAAATGGGTTTTATGCACCTAAAATAACATGGGATTCCAATAAAGAAGCCATTAACATTTCTAAATAATGCAAAACAACCTCAATTTCAGGTTCATGGTACTATAATTATTATAGCTGCTATACAACATGAATCTCTCAATCAAATATCATTCCTAATGAAAAATTCTCCATATAAACATTTAATAGCCTAAATACCTTAAGATAGCATTACATGAACATGACTATTTCCCCCACTAACTCTAAAATCCTAAAATCCCCTAAAATCTCCCTCATACACTGTCATATAACAGTTGGCTACAAGCTCCCTCATATAATACCAGGTTTGCATTATCATATGATCCGATGCTTAACCTTAATGCAAATCACAAGTGAAATAAAATATAACATGAGCATGTTGTAAAATATAAGCACAATTTAGGAAGATCTGTATGTTGATAATTTTTACAAATTTTCATGATCATAATTACTGATATTTCGACATTACATGTATTGTGTAATACACATACAAATGTGAAAATTTTTACCCCTTTCATTGACTTTAATATAATAATCGTGAAAATAGTAAAATAAAACAAATTCTAGACATGCAGATTTTCCTTAAGGTGCATGTTTATAGAAACATTTAAAAAAAAAGGTACAGTAATTTCTGGTAAAAATGAAAATGTTTCCATATTAATAATGTACATTCAAAATAATTTGGTACATAATTTTTAATATCAACAGTGAAATGAATGTTCCTAATAGCCACAATCATTCTAATGATAACCAGTCCCAAAGTATATCCCAATGAAAGTGAACATATCATCCCTACCTTCAATACTAAGCAAGTAAGTGCTGAACTCTACACAGTAAATGTACAGTAAATGATCCTGAATATTTATACTTTGTGATATGTCTTATGCTCAATTGAACAAAATATAGCATGACACATTTTCAGGCTATTCTATCTATAGTGTCACCACAACATGTTCACTATTTTCATAATCACCAGTCTGAAGCATGGTGACAAGAAATATCCCTGACTGCCATATTATGATCAAGACAATGGGTCATATTTTCATAGTGCTGTGTTCTACACTAAGTGCACTGAAATATTTTTACAATAAAATTCAATACTGTACAAGTTATTGATTTCTTTGGTGTTATTCACATATCACTTCATATACTGTGAATATAAATTACATTCTGAGGAACATGAGGAAGGACCCACTGGCTCTCGAGATCTCACATTAATTCTATTTTTATAACAGAAATGGATATTAACATTTTAATACATGTAATTTCCTCACCTCAGCTGATGTACTTCGAGTCTACAGGTTTTACCACTAATTTCCTCAGAGATGCGTTCACTGATATAATATTTGAGTTTACTGTGCCCTTGTTAATATATAATGAACCCCTCTATTATATAGGCATGCAATGGAAGTACTGCAAAGTAATTGGATTACAGTAATCTAGCCAATAAATGTAGTCTGAAAGGTTGAATATTTGAAAAGTTATAAATTTACTATTGACATATTTCAGGCTTTTTTTTATAGAGTACAGGGTGGGTTGGCATACCATATTCACCTATCTGATTACATATCTGATTGTGTGCACAGATTCCCATCCCAATACCATGTGTCAAGCATCAACACAATACTCCACTTTTAAATGAGGAACCGTAACACAAATTCATGAAAATAGTGTTTTATTTAACAATATAGTTAAGCTTATATATACTTGTATTCAATACGACTTATTGCATTAAAAGTAGATTGATATCATAATATATCGTGGCCCACTCTGTATTACATAAATACTTCTATTGTTTCCATGTTTGCACAAAGTTAAAATGATGAAAATGACAGAAAGCAAAATGCAAAATGAAATACATTTTAATATACCTTCAATATGCAATTTTTCTCTTAATTGGGAATTTAAAATAATTTACTGGCCTTGGATTTATTTGAAAGCAAAGTTCACACCACTTCAGATAAAGGTTCAATGCATCAAATAGTTGACCCTGCACTTGTCTATATTCAATATTAAACCAATAGACTAGATGCTTTACACAGATTTTATCCTTTGAAAAGATATTGGAGACATTTGTAAGCATATTTTGCAGAATAGTGTCAAAAACAGAGGGATTGCAATAAATAGCGTTGAAATCTCATTGAAGTATTGTTTTAATGAGATTTTAGGAGATATGCATTTTGAACCATTATAGTCCAACAATTTTGAATTACTCAGATGCGAGTAGGTAGTTACCAGTTTCACCACCAGGTGGCTGATTCAGGGGAATAAACATGGCAGGGTATTACAAAATTCCCTTAAACTTGAATATGCATCAGTTTTAATGGTTCACTTTTCATATTACCTTTATGTATCTAATAGTTATACAAATTAAAATATGTCCAGTAAAAGAAAATATTATCTGCCCAACACAAGAAAAGATATTTCACTTTTTGTGGTTTTACAACATGGGCTCTATGGGGAATCTCCCCGACCTAGAAGTCACATTTTCAAAGAAAATTAAATTTTCAAAGTTGATAAACTCTTTTCAAAACCACATTTCTAAATGTAATTTTACATATAGATTCCAAATATGACATCAGCTTGACTGAATTGTGAATTTTTAATGACGTAAATCAAGATTATTTCTAATCGCATCTGGGATATTTGGTGAGTGATTTTCTATTCAAACTACTTGCATAGTTATTTACTCAAATTCCAGGATTTTCAATGAGAAGGTCGGCTAAATTGACATAATAATGTTTAATCACAATCCATATGTCAATGAAATCATATAATTACATGCCAATAGAGTTTTCCATAAATCCAAATGGAAATACTAGATAAATCAAGAAATTAAGGGACTTTTAGCCAGGATTCTCTATACTATCAATGGTATTCTGAGTTTCTGACCCTACTCACTGACCCTTAAACTCCAGTTCTCAAAAAACATGTGGTTCCCTTATTTTGTGACAAACACCGGAGAAGTAGTATAATTCTGCCATTTAACATATAACATATTCTTAACACTTAAAACACACACACTGGCCCTTTGAAGTCTGTATTGCTGAAGCATTGAAACAAGAACTTTGGGCAATATACTGACCAATTTATTTCTCATTGCTGATTAAAAATGTTTGTGCTATTTTTTAAATCATTTGTTGTCACAGTGCTTATCAATCCATTTATACAGGGTGGGAAAACAAAAATGGGACACACACATATGTTCTATTTAAACGAGCAGATATGAACCAAATGTCATGAGAATTAGGGAGTGTAAAGTTTGAAAAGGATAGGTATTGATATGGTGAACTGAATTCAACAATATTTTTCTCTTAAACCAATTATTGAAAACATTCTGTAAAAAAACACGGTATTTTATGTAATATTGACTGATTGACAACAATTTAATGCGAAAATCATTTAGAAATATTTTATACAACTGTTTTTGTTAACATTTTTTGTTTTTTTTCGTGCAATTATTTTTGCTCCTTTGAAATGAAATGTTTTGTTCCAATGCATCCTCCGATCACAGGGCTTCAAAATCCAGAATATATTCTTTCTTTTTACCCCCTGCGATAAGCAGTTAGCATTTCCCCGATTAAGAACTCGCAATCTGATTGGCTGTCGCAACACTGCGACAGAAATCATGTATAAGTCATTGCGCATAATAAGATCACATGATTCAGTTTAATCGGGCGCTTCCAAATTGGTTATAGCAGGGGGGAAGAAGGAGGTGCGGATTCTGGACACCTGCTTAGGAGGATGGTTCCAATGAGGTTTGGAAAGATGTTTCACTTCACTCTGGAAACATGATACTAAGAACAAAACAAGTGTTTGATGTGCTTTCTAAAACAATATAGATGAAAGTATATATATATTTTTCAAATTATATTGTTACCATTCAAAAGATGACCATTAAATTGACGATGTTAATTTTTTAGATTTTTTTATGACTGGTTTAAGAGAAACGTGTGTTCAAAAAGTTCACCATATCATTACCACTCCTTTCTGTTCAAGTATGTAAAATTTCAAACCAAACACTATTTCTTTCTTTAAAGGGATCAGATTGTCCGGATTTTTCTCCCGGACAACCAGTAATGTCCTAATATGACTGCTCATATAACATCATATCTACCTTAGATATATTTTGAGACCAAATCATGAGCACAGTTTTACCAATATATGGAGAAAATCAACAGGACAACCAAAGCATAACCAAATGTCTAGAACACAACAAGTCTAAAACAACATACAATTTTTTTAGATTAATTCATACTGCAAAACCCTTCTAAGGAATTAAAATAACATTCCCAAAGGATAAAAATGTGTTGTAATAAAAAAAAAGATTGCCGACGCCAGGAATCAAATCTCCACCTTTTGGAAAAAACTGTTAGTCAAGAAGAAGTCCTATTCCTATGTATCCTCTACTTTGAAATGTAGGCTCCTCTTTGGTCAGTACAAGAGTAGCGCTCTGTATAGATAACTCAAACACATGAATGAACTCATTTGAGGACATCGCAGGGTCGATTGGACAACTTGGAGAAGGTCATTCTCATTCTCATTAAAGGTCTTACCCCACTGATTAGCATTCCATTCTCCATAAAAATAATTTAAAAAATAGATATTGCATGTTCAGAAGAGTATGGTGCGTGGCCTTAGACCTCAAGACCTGGCTCCTCTATAGCTGCAGTGGTCTTTAATGCTGACTTGCAGGCAGGAGGGTTATTAAGGTGGATGACTGGCTTCAAAATGAGTCTTTTCGAAAACTCAATCGTGAATTACCCAAATGCGAGTAGGTAGTTACCAGTTGCACCACCAGGTGGCTGATTCGGGTCAATTAACATGGCAGGTATATAAGAAAGTTCCCTTAAACTTGAATATTATCAATTCAAGTGGCTCAATTTTCATATAACCCTTATGTGTCTGATACTTATACTCATGAAAATATATCCAGTAAAGCAAAATATTATCTGTCCACTAAAAGAAAAGATATTTCATTTTTTGTGATTTTATAGCATGGGCTCTATGGGGAATCTTCCCATGCTAGAAGTCACATTTTCAAAGAAAATTAATTTTTCAAAGTTAATAAACACTTTTTAAAACCACATTTCTAGATGTAATTTTACATGTAGATTTCAAATATGATATTACTTTGACTGAATTTTTAATTTTTAATGACGTAAATCAAGATTATTTCTACTCGCATCTGGGTTATTGTGCAGACTGTTAGTGTACCTAGTGATATTCCAGGAAATTAAATAAATATTATATTATAATGAAATCATACTTGAATATGAGTTATATAGCAACACCATAACAACAAAGCAACTAATAAAACAAACCAAAAATGTTGTAATAGTTGAATTAGATACTTTCCTTAGTTATACAAAAATGTTAGATATCACATTTTCATGAAAAAGTTGCCCCAGGTATTGTGATGTCATGTTACTATAGTAACCACAACTCTACCCACATTTTATCATTTTTTCTGAAACTTTATAATTTTAGTTGCAATACTTCAAAGTACAATTTGTGAAAATTTGAACAAACTTGGTGCAGAATTGACAAATTGCCAGCACCAGTCCTGTTACTTTTAGAACATCCTGTATAAATAATTGAAAAAAAGTAATATTAGTGTGCTTCTTTTATTTCAAAATGATCAATATATGACTGATATTCATGAGATGTATGTTTTTTGGAAGTTTTTTAATAAATAACGATGTTTTATTGAGAATCAATCTTCCCGTCGTCAGTCTTGGCAAATACAATCGGTTGCCGGGATATTGAGCAAAAACTGTCACAATTTCTACAACTTTGAAACTAATTTACATAATATTGTATCTTATTAAAGTTGGATGAATTCCTCATCTTTTGGTTTATCTGTTTATCTTGAAAACTTCTAAAAATGATATAGTGTCCCATTTTTTATTGCCCACTCTGTAGTTCTTCATGCTACTGACCAGATAATAGGCAAAACCACATACAGTACATTGCCTATTCATATATTACTACAGGTACATGTATATACGATTGCACTTCTTATGACAAAGGACCTATAATCATTCATCATGCTATACCCAGGCCTGTAGCCAGGGGGTTAGCCAAAAATTCCACTGTAGTTTAGTATCCCAAAACCCCAATATCTTATATACATCATCAAGAATTTTTATTTGAGCAGATTGCATTTTCCAAATAGCACATTTGATAACCACTAAAGCTACCCTCATAACTATTAAATCCTCTAATTTGCAATTATAAGTACATCCATTTGTTATAAACACCAATGTCATATAAAATGCTGAATACCAGTTGAAAACAAGAGAGTGATTAAGATCACATTTCAAAAGCAAAGTGGCTATTTTGTTCATTACCCAGCATTGCCTAAAACGTAATCAGATCTTAGATGAGAAAAATCATGAAAAATTGGTCTGAACTGTGAAAATGGGAATTTTGCACCAACCTGAGAAACAAATCCTTAGGAGATCCCAGATGTATTCAT